CGCATAGGCGTGGGTCAAACCGGGAAGGCCCCGACAGAAGACATGGAAGGCGTCGAGGAAGGACCGGGAAGGTGTCGAGCCGGGAAGGCCCCGTAAAAAAAAAACGGGACGGCGTTAAGAAAGGACCGAGATGGCCCCGGGACAAAACCGGGATGGCGTGGAGCAATGGCCGGGAAGGCCTCGAGCAAAGACTGGGCAGGCTGCGGGGAAAGACCGGAAAGGCAGGCAGGGAAGGCCCCGGGAGAAGACCGGGAAGGCGCCGAGCAATGACCGGAAAGGGGTCGAACAAAAGACAAAGACCGGGAGGGCTGCGGGGAAAGACCGGGAAGGCTGCGGGGAAAGACCCGGAAGGTGTCGAGCAATAACCGAAAGGTTCTGGGAGAAGACCAAAAAGGCGTCCAGGAAGGACCGGGAAGGCGTTGCGCGAAGACCGGGAAGGCCCCGAAGGAAGACCGGGAAGGCCCCGGAGAAGACAGGGAAGGCGTCCAGGAAGGACCGGGAAGGCGTCGAGGAAAGACCGGGAAGGCCCCGGGAGCAGACCGGGAAGGCGTCGAGCAATGACCGGGAAAGCGTCAAGCAATGACCGTGAAAACGTCGAGCAATGACCGGGAGAAGACCGGGGAGGGCGTCGAGCAATGACCAGGAAGGCGTCGAGCAATGACCGTGAAGGCAGGAAGGGGAAAGACCGGGAAGGCGTCGAGGAAGGACCGGGAAGGCCCCGGGAGAAAACCGTGAAGGTGTCGAGCAATGACCGGGAAGGCTGCGGGGAAAGACCGGGAAGGCTGGAAGGCAAGACCGGGAAGGCGTCCAGCAAAGACCGGGAAAACATCGAGCAAAGACCGGGAAGGCGTCGGGAGAAGACCGGAAAGGCGTCGAGCAATGACCGGGCAGGCGTCGAGCAAAGACTAAGAAGGCTGCGGGGAAAGACCGGGAAGGCGTCGAGCAATGACCGGGAAGGGGTCGAACAAAGACCGGGAAGAAAGACCGGGAGGGCTGCGGGGAAAGACCGGGAAGGCTGCGGGGAAAGACCGGGAAGGTGTCGAGCAATGACCGGAAGGTTCCGGGAGAAGACCGGGAAGGCGTCGAGGAAGGACCGGGAAGGCGTCGCGCGAAGACCGGGAAGGCCCCGAGGGAAGACCGGAAAGGCCCCGGGAGAAGACAAAGAAGGCGTCCAGAAGGACCGGGAAGGCCCCGAGGGAAGACCGGAAAGGCCCCGGGAGAAGACAAAGAAGGCGTCCAGAAGGACCGGGAAGGCGTCGAGGAAACCGGGAAGGCCCCGGGAGCATACCGGGATGGCGTCGAGCAATGACCGGGAAGGTGTCGAGCAATGACCGTGAAGACGTCGAGCAATGAGGCGTCGAGGAGAAGACCGGGAAGGCGTCGAGGGAAGACCGGGAAGGACCCGGGAGAAGACCGGGGAAGGCGTCGAGCAAAGACCGGGAAGGCGTCGAGCAATGACCGGCAAGGGGTCGAACAAAGACCGGGAAGAAAGACCGGGAGGGCTGCGGGGAAAGACCGGGAAGGCTGCGGGGAACGACCGGGAAGGTGTCGAGCAATAACCGGAAGGTTCCGGGAGAAGACCGGGAAGGCGTCGAGGAAGGACCGGGAAGGCGTCGCGCGAAGACCGGGAAGGCCCTGAGGGAAAACCGGGAAAGCCCTAGGAGAAGACAGGGAAGGCGTCGAGGAAGGACCGGGAAGGCCCGGGAGAAGACCGGGACGGTGTCGAGCAATGACCGGCAAGGGGTCGAACAAAGACCGGGAAGGCTGGGGGCCCCCTGACAAAGCCCTTACCAAACATCTTCATGCCGACCTCTCACCTGTGACGCCTGGTCTCGGTCGGAGCGTCGAGGAAAGACCGGGAAGGCCCCGGGAGCAGACCGGGAAGGCGTCGAACAATGACCGGGAAAGCGTCGAGGAAGGACCGACCGTGAAAACGGAGAGAACCGGGATGGCCGTCGAGCAAAGACCGGGAAGGCCCCGGGAGAAGACAGGGAAGGCGTCGAGCGATGACGTCGAGCAATGACCTGAAGGCAAAAAGGGGAAAGACGGACGAGGAAGGACCGGGATGCCCCGGGAGAAGACCGGGAGGGTGTCGAGCAATGACCGGGAAGGCTGCGGGGAAAGACTGGGAAGGCTGGGGGGAAAGACCGGGAAGGCGTCGAGCAAAGACCGGGAAGGCGTCGAGCAAAGACCGGAAAGGCCCCGGGAGAAGACCGGAAAGGCGTCGAGCAATGACCGGCAAGGGGTCGAACAAAGACCGGGAAGAAAGACCGGGAGGGCTGCGGGGAAAGACCGGGAAGGCTGCGGGGAAAGACCGGGAAGGTGTCGAGCAATAACCGGAAGGTTCCGGGAGAAGACCGGGAAGGCGTCGAGGAAGGACCGGGAAGGCGTCGAGCAAAGACCGGGAAGGCCGCGAGGGACAACCGGGAAAGCTCCAGGAGAAGACAGGGAAGGCGTCGAGGAAGGACCGGGAAGGCCCGGGAGAAGACCGGGACGGTGTCGAGCAATGGCCGGGAAGGCTGCGGGGAAAGACCGGGAAGGCTAGGGGGAAAGACTTGGGCTGAAGCGCACAGTGCGCTTGCAGTAAGCACACTGCGTGCTCAGCACCAATCTCCAAGGCTCTGCTCGGACAGGGCCCAAGACCTTGCTGGCTGCGCTTGCCGGTTGCTCCCCCTGACAAGGCCCTTACCAAACATCTTCATGCCGACCTCTCACCTGTGACGCCTGGTCTCGGTCGGAGCGTCGAGGAAAGACCGGGAAGGCCCCGGGAGCAGACCGGGAAGGCGTCCAACCAGTGCGCTTGCAGTAAGCACACTGCGTGCTCAGCACCAATCTCCAAGGCTCTGCTCGGACAGGGCCCAAGACCTTGCTGGCTGCGCTTGCCGGTTGCTCCCCCTGACAAAGCCCTTACCAAACATCTTCATGCCGACCTCTCACCTGTGACGCCTGGTCTCGGTCGGAGCGTCGAGGAAAGACCGGGAAGGCCCCGGGAGCAGACCGGGAAGGCGTCCAACAATGACCGGGAAAGCGTCGAGCAATGACCGTGAAAACGGAGAAGAGCGGAATGGCGTCGAGGGAAGACCGGGAAGGACCCGGGAGAAGACCGGGGAAGGCGTCGAGCAATGACGTCGAGCAATGACCGTGAAAGACCGGGAAGGCGTCGAGGAAGGACCGGGAAGGCCCCGGGAGAAGACCGGGAAGGTGTCGAGCAATGACCGGGAAGGCTGCGGGGAAAGACCGGGAAGGCTGGGGGGAAAGACCGGGAAGGCGTCGAGCAAAGACCGGGAAGAGCCCGGAGAAAGACCGGGAAGGCGTCCCGGGAAAGACCGGGAAGGCCCCGGGAGTCGAGCAATCGAACAAAGACCGGGAAGAAAGACCGGGAGGGCTGCGGGGAAAGACCGGGAAGGCTGCGGGGAAAGACCGGGAAGGTGTCGAGCAATAACCGGAAGGTTCCGGGAGAAGACCGGGAAGGCGTCGAGGAAGGACCGGGAAGGCGTCGCGCGAAGACCGGGAAGGCCCCGAGGGAAAACCGGGAAAGCCCCAGGAGAAGACAGGGAAGGCGTCGAGGAAGGACCGGGAAGGCCCGGGAGAAGACCGGGACGGTGTCGAGCAATGACCGGGAAGGCTGCGGGGAAAGACCGGGAAGGCTGGGGGGAAAGACTTGGGCTGAAGCGCACAGTGCGCTTGCAGTAAGCACACTGCGTGCTCAGCACCAATCTCCAAGGCTCTGCTCGGACAGGGCCCAAGACCTTGCTGGCTGCGCTTGCCGGTTGCTCCCCCTGACAAAGCCCTTACCAAACATCTTCATGCCGACCTCTCACCCGCTGTGTGCAACCTGAACGCATGTGCGCGCGCATCTACGCAGCACGGTCACTACTAAGTGGACAAACATGGTCACAAATGAGTAGCACCCTATGTTCAGAAATGAGACAAAACATATGGTCAGATTTGAGTGGAAATTATGGTCAGAAATGAGGTGTGTACCTATCAACGTGTCCATTCCCCGGCCCGGTGACCCTATAGAAACAGGGATTCCTTCTCGGGATGACGGTTAAAAGGAAAAACGGACAGCACTTAAAAACTGGGAATGTTAGCAAGGTCCCCATCCAAATGTTCCAAGTGTATTGGGTTGCTTCGCTTTCAACAACTTCGACGGAAAATAATCACTGAGGGCCAGCTGAACTCTATCCCAATTCGAAAGCTTGATGTGAGTCATAACCAACACCTTTGCCTGACAGCTTTGGTGTGAAGAGGAAATCAACTTTCCCCGCGGTTCCATTCTTTCCGGTCAGCCCCATTTGGAAGCCACTCCAAAGGTACACCCCTTCCGCGCCCAACGGAAGGATTCGGGATTGCATTTGAACAGCATCAAAGAGCATTCTAAACAATTGGAACTGGGTTCTTGGGTTCTTATTTAGTCATTCTAGGAGGAAACCATGAAGGAATACTTGGCCTTTGTGTTAGTTAGGTTCACTTCGCGAGTGGATTGGCACGAAAAAGTCCCCAATTTCTTGTTTCCACTAACATGGTCTGGAAAGTGAGATACTTGGCCCCTGGTGTGTTGGGGCAGGTTCTCATCACAAAAAAATCCTGATGATCGGGCAACTCTGGCCATGGAAGGCCTTCCAAATGAAAAAACAATCTCTAGGTGGGTGCCTTTTGAGACAAAATGGAAACTCAAAAGTGTGACTTCTAGGATGTCTTTCTAGGGAAGGTCCCCACGTGTCCCTTTTGGATCGAAATGGAAACCAACAGGAAACCGAAAAAACAATGAGAGGGTTTCCCAGTGGGCAACTCCACTTTCCAGCCCCACCAACTTACAAGTCACACAATAGGTTCAAAGGCAACGACTTTTGGCAAAGTCATCCAGGGATCCTTCCCTTATACACCTGAACGGTGGTTTCCCTCTATGTTGGTGTTGAAAAAGCCCGGGCAAAATGTATCTTTTAAGGAGCCCTGTCATCGCAGCCATTCTCAGCCCTCGGAAACTTCCGAGGGGCCAGCAGCAGCAGCCACTGGGCGATATCCACATAGGCCGCCCTGCGAGTGGACGCGCCCAGGCGCAGTAACACAAAGATGATGTCCTCAGCTCCCACCCGTCCGAAACCAAGGTCCTATCACTGGGTTCCAAATGGGTGTCTGTGTTATTTATTTATTTATGTATCTATCTATTTATTTATTATGTAGTTACTTATTTAGTTATTATTAAACTTATTATTATTATTATTTGGGGGGGGGGCTTCCACTTGAAACCACAAAAAAAGGCAACCTCAGAACAAATAGGGGGAGTGGAAAAAGTAACATAAACATTACCTATGTTGGTTTCTCTTTGGCAGATTGCACATTATGGGCCATTTAGAGCCCCGGTTTGTTGGTTGCCACCACATTGGACGAAACCCAGAAATGGGTCATGTGCTCATGAACGCCTTGGATGGCAGCATGCTACGGGTGTGTCTTTTTTAGGGCGACCCATTTTTGGGTGGGTGTGAAGGGAAACAAAGGAAAAAAGGACCCATCGCGTGGGTTGCTCCCCGATGTTGAGACAAATCCACAGCGAAAGTAAACGTACTTGGATGCTCAACCCAGTCACTTAGTAAGTAGGTTCGTTCCATGGACATAAGGACACCAACCTCAGTTACCCTTGGCTGCTGTTGACCCCCCTGCAAACAGTTTAACTTTTTGGGGGTTTAGTGGAAAACACCTTTATTTGCCAAAAAGTTAAAGTCTACAGATCCAACCCAATAGCAGTCAAGTACCCTATATACTTGTAACCGTGCTTATACCCTAAGTGGGCTGAACATCCAAGTAATATTTTAACTCCAGGGCGCCAGCACCAAGTAGAAACGCTCCACGATGTCGCTGGTGACGATGGGAAACAACGACTTAGCCTCGCGAACGCCGGCGACTGGGCGCGTGAAGTCCCAGACACTTCCGCAAGACCTCCGTGCTTCATGGAATTCCGAACGCCTCCCACTTATTCTTGGGAAACAGGAAAGTTACTCGGTTTCATTCTGCTCCCCTGCTAAAAGCTTGACTTTTAGTGGTTTCATGGAAAACCCATTAGTTGGCAAAAAGTTAAAGTCCTAACATCCATGCAAAATGCACCAAAGGTTCGTTGGGGCGTTGGGCCGCGTGAGATTCAGGATGAATAGACTCCGTGGATCCATAGTGAACAAAACAAGAAGAAGCCTACGTGTTTAGGAGGTGACCACACGCCTGTGCAATCAGGTCATTCCAAGAGACAACCAGTCCCCAGAATTGACCAAGCCTGCTCGAACATTGCACCGCTCTCAGGGGTCTTAATTAAAATAGGGGCCACCCCAAAAGTCCACTCCAAAAGGGGTTTAGGGTTTAGGGTTTAGGGGGGTATCCTCCAAACTAGACAGACCCAAACTGCCAAACTGAGACCAACATTCTCTCGGCTCCCAGGCACCTCGTAACGCTTGAAGACGGTGGATTTGATCTCACCAAAGTTGTTGGTGACGATGATGAGGAACATTGCGCTCCTGACAAGCCCCCAGCCCTTTGCTCCGGTTTCTTTTGTTCACTCTTCCTGAGAAAGGTTGTTCCGGCTCTTACGGGTCAGATCGATGCCGCACAAACCCAGCCCCAAACGCCCTAAAAGGAAGAAAGGAAGTCTGAGTCTGAGCGGTTGGTCTGTCCTTGCAAATTCTCTGTTGACAAAGTGAGCCTTTGGCACATTGCGAAACAAGAGCAACTTGTGCCGCGGCCGTTTTTGGAGGAAACGGTCGTGGGGGGGGATGCTGGGGGGCTGGGGTGGGCGGGCCCGGGGGCAGGGGGGGGAGGGGAGCTCGGATCAGGGCTCGCAGCCAAGAGGCGACGAGGTGTTGATGGCCACCGTGAGGAGCTGGATGCGAACCATGTGCATGGAGGAATGGAGGAAGCAGTAGACCAGAACCTCAGGTATATAACGTGTGAGACGGGAGATTTGGATTTGGATTTTAATATATCCTAACAAATGAGCAAATATGCCCGGTGGTGATAGATACATACTCCCTAAAGCCACCAAGGGAACATCAAGAACATATTCCTTTCAGCAAATGGACGTATAACTTTGAGGGGCATGGGGGGGCGCCCAATGCACCGTTTATGGAAAAATCTTCCCCAACGGGGAAAATGGGTTGCCATGAATAAATCGAGACCTGCAGTCACCCCTGACCACCCGACCCGAATGCTCATTGAATGCTGAACCAAATCCTCACCTCGGCAAACGGATGCTTGAAACAGCCCAGACTCTACCCACCGACCACCGCGGGTCACCGGCATAGGTGTCCTTTTAGGGGCAATAGCCAGGGCCCTGGTAGATGATGAAACCTCCAGGCCAAGCCAGGAATCGAAACCCCTCTATTTTTTTCCAGCAAAACAACCCCAGAAGGCCACCTATGGTCCCCGACCACCGACCCACCCAAAGCCCCCCCCCCCGACCCCCCCCCCCTCCGACCCGCGCGCCCCGCGCGCCCCGCGCGAGGCGCGGCCAGGAACTTCCAGGGGAACCCGCCGCTCCGTTCCGAGGCCACCAGGAGCTCGAAGAAGTCCACCCCCACCGAGCGGAGCCAGCGCTCCGCTAGCTCCAGCCTTCCGCGGTCTCTTGCGATGCTTCGACCCGGGCACCAGGCAAGGGGGCCCAAAAAAGAAGCCAGAGGAGGGTGTGTATATATATATATATATGCGTGTATGTATGTATGTATGTATGTATGTATGTAGGTAGGTAGGTAGGTATCTATGTATCTATGTATCTATGTATCTATGTATCTATGTATCGATGTCTATCTATCTATCTATCTATGTACCCATGTATCCATGTATCTATCTATCTATCTATCTATCTATCTATCTATCTATCTATCTATCTATCTATGTATCTATGTGTGTGTATGTGTGTGTGTGCATCTGTGTGTGTATGTGTATGTATGTATATGTATGTATATGCATGTATATGTATGTATATGTATGTATATGCATGTATATGCATGTATATGTATGTATATGTATGTGTATGTATGTGTATGTATGTGCGTGTATGTGTATGTATGTGTATATGTATGTGTATATGTATGTGTATATGTATGTGTATATGTATGTGTATATGTATGTGTGTGTATGTGTGTGTATGTGTGTGTATGTATGTATGTATGTATGTATGTAGGTAGGTAGGTAGGTAGGTAGGTAGGTAGGTATCTATGTATCTATGTATCTATGTATCTATGTATCTATGTATCTATGTATCTATGTATCTATGTCTATCTATCTATCTATCTATCTATCCATGTATCTATCTATCTATCTATCTATCTATCTATCTATGTATCTATGTGTGTGTGTGTATGTGTGTGTGTGTGTGTGTGCGTCTGTGTGTGTATGTATGTGTATGTATGTATATGTATGTATATGCATGTATATGTATGTATATGCATGTATATGCATGTATATGCATGTATATGTATGTATATGTTTGTGTATGTATGTGTATGTATGTGTGTGTATGTGTATGTATGTGGATATGTATGTGTATATGTATGTGTATATGTATGTGTGTATGTATGTGTGTGTGTATGTGTGTGTATGTGTGTGTGTGTATGTATGTATGTATGTATGGATGGATGGATGGATGGATGGATGGATGGATGGATGGATGGATGGATGGATGTACGCATGTATGTATGTACACATATGGATACATGTGTGAGGATGGGTTTGTCTGGACATATGTGGTTTCTGTTGGTGTCCCTTCAAAACCACACCCAAACAAAGGAAGAGGATCCTGAAACAGAGACAAACCCATTGCATATACCTATATGTACATATCTAGATCTGCGAATTCTAAATAAAAAGCACACAGGTGTGCGTGTACCTGGGCTCCAGGAACCTGCCCCAAACTTCACCCTCCAATACCATGACCAAAAGTTGGGAACATCCCGGCCGCAGATGTGGAGGGGCAATGAGGGGCACCTAAGTGCTGTTGGGTGGGATGAATCTACGCTTGCTTGAATTTTCCAGTGCATAAAACCACTTGGCAGCACCGTTCCTTTCAAATCAGCAGCAAAAACAAATAGAAACAAAGGATAGGGTCATGTTTGCGTTTTGGGCAGGCTTCCAAGGACACAAACGCTTCCGAAGCCAATCGGCTTTTTGCTTTCGCCTGAAAGGGTTTGAAGCCAAGAGAACAAGGACACACCTCATCTGTGCTTGTAAACGGCCCGAACAAGAAATGGATTATTACCCTGCTCCATTCGGGGGACCCCCTGGCTTGGGTTCCATGTTAATTTGTAGGGGAGCCCGACACAGGCGTCTGTTTAAAGCAGGCGGCATGTTGAAGAGCACGTAGAGCTTCAAGAAACTCTCGCCTGAAGCGAGAGGAGAGGAGCCCCAGCGAGAGGAAAGAAGCCCCAGCAAAAGGAGAGAAGCCCCAGCGAGAGGAGAGAAGCCACTTACTTATGGCCGTTTCGCTACTTAGTTTGAGAGTCTCCGAAACCGTTTGCCAGCGGTTTCCATCGCTTTCCAGGGGTATATTTTTTTTGAGAGCCCCCTATCGTTTGCCATGGTTTTGTGCATTTTCACAATATCAATAAAACGCCGAATGCTAAACTCAACAGAAGTAATTTTGACGGTCTTCATATTGGTAGATGATGAGAAATACCGCTTGAAAAATGCATATACTGCCGTAAGCCCCTCTAATTCGCCTTGGCCCCAGGGCCGGGAAACAAGCCAAGGCGGGCAAGGCGAAGCATTTACAATAAGTGATGCATAACCTCCACACCTCCGGACAAGCCAGCGGAAATTCCCTGCGGACTGGGTTGAAAGGGTTGCTACCCCGTTTCTGTTCAGAACGGAACTGGTGCCCGTGTCTAGCGACAACATCAACAAACGCATGTCATTGTCAAGCCTGGTGCGACCTCTTCATAGTGTGGGGACTGTCATCGCTAGTCTTCACATATCTGGGTTCTGATTGTGACTTAAACGAGGCTCCAGCTTCATGTCAGAGAGCCCCCTTGAGTAGAATCCCTGCTGCTGAAAAGGAACCCTATCCAATGCTGGCCTGACCCGGGGCGGAATGCTCATAACTTAACACTGACGCCAGCATACAAGGATCAAACTAAAAATGAGCAATTTTCCAGGAGATGATCAACTTACAAAAGGCTCACCTTTTGGAGCCTTGACTAACTCTGGACCAAACCAGGCAAACCAAAGGTGAAGAGCTCGGCTTGGGGCAAGCGAGCCCAAAGAGCTGCAAAGGAGAACTGCGCTCTTCCCTTTCACCTACGTTGGCGGGTAAAGCGAAAAACCCGGGACCATATAGCAGAGACTGGGACTGGGGTTCCACTGCCGTTTCAAACTCTGCGTTCAAAGGACCCGGAAATCGAAGCTGAACTTCCGGGCACCTCCTGAAGGTCCGGGAACTAAGCTAGTTCACTTAGCAACCGAGGGAGAACACTGAGCCAGTTCGGATCGCTTTGCTCAGGGGCCAAGTGAGTTTCCGATGCAAGACTCCCAGCAAAGAACCCCTCCCCATACCCCCCCATACCCGCCCCCCATACCCCTCCCCCGTACCCCCCCCGCCCATACCCCCCAAGGAAGCGCAGCTGGTCAAAGGCCCAGTCAAGCAGCGCAAATTTGCATGGACACCGCCCCTCATTGAATGGAATGGACTTTCTGGTCGAAAGGTTGGGTTGAAAGGTTCCATCAAAATGGCACAAGGAATTTGATTTGGTTGGATGATGTCCCGCACGAGCGATGACTTTGTGGGCAAGTGAGAAAAAACGTGCGGTGGATGGTTTAAATATTGCAAGTAGGGAACAAAAGGAAACCCAAAGTAAATTCCTCATGGTTTGTGGTTAGTGTACTTGCAACATAGGGCCCAACCACAAGCCACAGCAAGTTACAGGGCTTCCTTAGTACTTGCAATATTGAGTTGGCATCCACCGTGGGTCCCAGGTTCCTTCTCATGACGTCCTTTTCCGAAGCCCCGCGAACCAAAGACGCCGGCCTCGGATGTAGTGGTAGACCCGGCTGTTGCCTCACCCGGCTCGGCACCAGGCGGGGAAGTCGTGTTCAAAGTTAAGTTCGCTCCAACAATGCAAGAGTTGACATGTGTCCCAATTGGGTCATGCTAGCAGTGGGTGAAACCGAAGTGCAATCCAAGGGTTTTACCAATGCTCCACCCCGGGATTACGCCCTTGGGCAAGCTATCTAGGTTGTAATCCCATGGAAGTGGACGCTGTGCGGGTGCCCCAAAAAGAAAGCCGTCGTCTTCCAGAACCCTCCGATCGTAAAGGTCAAGAATTCTTGGCCCCTGAGATACCATGAAAGGCCACTGGAGGTTTTTCCCCACACCCCCAAAACCTGTTCTAAGGAATTCCGCCTTGTCGGCATGACTGCGTATTGTTTAAGAGGAATATTCGATGTTGCACCCCATTAACCAGCAAGGTTGATTCATCTAGGCTTGCCACTAGGGCCTCCCGTGAAGCATTCATCCAAACAATCTGCGGCCTTAACTGAGGTCTTGGGTTTTCTGAAAAATGCCGAGCTCGTGTTATCCGAATCGGAGAGCTCCGTTCTGAAGCCAAAGGAACCCGACAAAGTGTTGCAGGGACACCAGAAAAAGAAAACAACAAAAACAAAAACAAAAACATCCACCAGTCACCGGGGCTCTGATTTTGGGGAGAACCACCTCAACAAAAAACGCTGCAAACTCCGAGGTGCTGAAGCACGCCTTCAGCAGCACCACGTTCAGCGCAAACAGCGCCACTCGCAGCACGTCGCACCGCTCCGTGGCGCTGAGCGAGCCGCGGGCGCCGCGCCAGGCGCGGCGGCAGTGGCCGCCGAGGCCCCGCAACACCTGAGGCGGGCGATTTCAGGGGGTGGGGGGGGCGCGCCCTAGATCCATGCCATATCATGCCATGATCTGATGGTTCCCTGGCTGCAAAAATCCGACACCCTCCCTCCGCATCCGCATCCGCATCCCCCCCACCCTTCCTGCAGCGGCGTGAAGCTCAGCTCGTGCAGCAAGATGTCCAAACACAGCAGGAACCCAAAGGCCAGGACCTTCCTGAAGCATCCGTCCGTTTCGGCCGCGAGCCGAATCGGGCAGGATCTGTGGTGTAGAGCTTGTTGGTGGTTTCCCATCGATAGGCAAATGCATCTATTGCTGAGGATGATCCAAATGAACCTCTTTTCAACAATTGTGCAATATGGGCTGAGGTGATCTTGCCATCGCCTGGTCAGCTTCCATCATTGTTCACCGGAAATCCGGGGCCAGGGCACCTTCGTCGTGGGCTGCTCACCAGATTACCTCTGAGGTAAGAGCAAAACAAAGGCGAGGAAACTCAGTTTTCACCTCGCTTCAAACAGAGTGTCAAGCGCTAGGCAAATCACTTGATGGGGGATTGCGCGTATGATCCGATGATCCCCTATGTCGACACCCTGATAAACACTTTGCGGATTGATAGGGAGTACCTTGCCCATGGGACACACCATACTCATCAACCAGAGTCGCAATTGTTGGTCGATCCGTCGAACACATGTACCCCCTCTTTCCCTGCGAAGCAGTGGATGTTTGTCGAGCGTGCGTCCGCCAAGCTTCAGCGAGAAATGCGGCGAAGGCAAGAAAAAGCTTTGCGCCATTTTGGCATCAAACCCGCTTGCCACAAGCCCCAATAAATGTGCAGTCAATTGCTGGGTCCGTTGAAGTGACATTCTCAAATGTCCGGTTTGAATGGTTGTTTAAAGGATCGCAACCATCGAAGGTAATTTTGAGAAACCACAAACATGTTCACTTCAGCACGCCCAGAATTTGCGCAGAATTAGGGTCCCATTTGGATTGGATCCCATGATTTCGCTGCCGTGTGTTTGCAGATCAGTCTTGGTAAGGATACGTGCGTGACCCGAAACGTAGGAATTAAAGTTCAAACTCTTCTGATCAGTTGAACCAATTCCAAGGCGAGTTGGAAAACCCATGCTATTGAACACATCGTTCACAACCGTGACAGTGGCCAGCTTGCAACACGAATTCATTGAATTCGCCCCCAAGCGAGTAGGTTGAGCGGTCGGCCTTCCAGCCCGCACAGGCAAGCCGAAAAAAAGAAGGAGGAGCCCACCCGAATCGCTCCAAACCCACCACGCGCAACAAGGCTCTCACTGACATGGGGCGGCAAAAACTTTGAAAGTTGACCACTTCTGCTCCTCTACCTGCTTCAACTATCATCTGAGAGCTTCAACTGCACCTTCGAGAGACACACACGCAAAACACACAAATAAAAATCAAACCCATCTGAACCAGTGCCTTCAATTCTTAACCAAACTAACCTGAAAAGGAGACCTATGCACACACACACACACACCTCCCTGCACCACGCGACTCTCTTTCCGGGTTGCTCCAGACGAGGTGGAACCTTTGCCACCTCCAGCAAGTGGTTCCTGGGCTGGCCAAGGTGCGAGAGATTAAAAACTGCGCCACTTGGTGTACATCATTTGCTGGGAACCCTTCTTTGGTTGGAAACCAAAGGAAGGCCCGTATCTAAAGTTCTAGGTCTTTTGGGCAAGTGAAAATTGTTCGCTCAGTACTTGGTTGTACAGACCAGGAGTATGGCAAGCAATGCTAGTGACCCAGGATTTTTGCACCCCTGGTTGATGTTCTGACCCTTTTTGCCGAGGCATCCACTGCAGTGAAGGGGAATGACACAGGATATGCTCGCCCAATTGCCAGTCGAACATGGGGTGACTCCTCACAAATTCCCTTGACATGGAAGAAGCACGGGAAATGAAGTGGCAACTTGTTGGTAGGCTGCTGTCAGTTTGGGCCGAATTTGGAGTAGACCGCCATTTCAGTGAGCAACAAAAGCTTGGACTTTGGCCAGTCCACTCAGGAAGTGAGCTATTGGGGAGCATCCAGAGGCATCGTAGAGCCTTCCCGTGGTATTGTTCCGGCGAACCGCCGAGCCTTGCACTTGTCTCATACCGGGGGATCGCCGCCCCCCCTCAATACGAAACAAACAAACTAACAAGAAGAACAGTTAATAACAAGGAACTATAGCGATAGCATAAAATTACACTTCTGAGGCCAAAACCAAAAAAAAAAACAAAGGGGTGAAAACGGGAAACTGAAAGGTCGAAAGGCCGGCTTAACTGTTCGGAAGTCTTTGGCTTCAAACCAAGTCCAGCCACCCCCCCCAACCCACCCCTAGGTCCTCCAGATTTGAGAGCTTAGAATAAGGGTACCCTTTTTTCTCTAGTCTATTTTAGCAGGGGAACCAAAAAAAGAAACGACAAAAGGGCACCTAGCTGGGGGACCTAGACCCCCACAACCCCACCCCACCCCCTCCCAGGCCAGGCCGCCGCGGCAGCGCCTCTAGCGAGGGCGGCTTGGCACGGCTGGCGGCCTCGCCGCCCAGCCAGGACCAGAAGCGCAGGGCCAGCGCCGGCGCCTCAGGGGGGGGGGGGGGGTGGAGTCGATTTTTGCGGCAGAGAACCCTCAGATCATGGCATGGCTTTAGCCAGGTCCCCCAGCAGTGCCCTTGTACCAACTTCTTTTGGCAGGGAAGATTGAGGCCGATGCCTCAATTATTCAACTCCAATCATTGATCCAAAGCTAGAACCAGCCAGAAGGACACATAGGGTATGATCTTCCCTCTCACAGGGGGGGAAGGGGGGTGGCGCGCTGTTTTGCCCTTGGACCTGGAAAAGGCTTGGCCCAGCAATTGACCTGGAACCTGACGCTGGGAAATGGTTGCTTTGAAACGAACATGGTCCAAGCCAGGACCCCGGGTCCATGTTGATTGGTCTTGGTGGGTCACCTCTTGTGGGGCCACCAAAGAAGGACAAACGGGGAAACCAAAAGGTCAGAAGGTGGATTCGCTTTGGGGAGGTGAGGGTGTAAGCCCGGGGAAACGTACTTGGCAAGGACTCCAACCTGAAGCGAGCAAAGCGAATGGCAACCCATACACAATGGGCACATGAAGGATCCTTAACAAGAACCACCCACATGCCAACTGACAACGCTGATGCCAGGGCTACTTTCTCAGGTGCTCGCGATGAATGCCTTCGATCATGGAGAGCGAACCCTTGTGTGGTCCTTGCAGAGTTTAAACTACTTTTCCTTTCGAAACATTTCCCCCAACTCCCTCTCATGTGCTCAAAAGGATGTCAAAGAAAACTGACCCAAGCAGCACCCTCCGAACCCAAGAGCTGTCCAAAAAGCAAGCGCTTGGGGGGAGGGGGGGGTCGCAGCAAAGGGAAAGGACACGAGGGTGAAAGTAGACAGCACTATTCAGGTAGTGCTGAGGTACCCCCCCCAAAGCTCCCCCCAAAAGAAATAAGGGCTAGACGCTCCTTCTCAACTGACTGAGGTTTCAGGAATCATGAGAGAGTGAGATGAGTTCCGGGCACGCGCACAGGCTTCGGGGTTTCTTTTTCGGGCCCTGTTTCAGCACTTTTTCGGGGCTCCTGTAAATCGTGCTCTTCTTTTTTTTTGCTGGGGGAGCTCCAGAATTGTGCAAATTGCAAAAAATGTTGAAGCTCCCCCCCCAAATAAAAATACGGCGTGACCAGGCAGGGGCCAAAGTTTGGGACCGCGCCTGCTCTCACCCCTTTTCAAAAGAGGGGGCCTCTAAATGGCGCTATGCAGAGCAGTTGCTCTGCGGTCTTTAGGCTGCCGAAATGGCAGGGCTTGTTTGGGCTTTATTAAGCCTTATTAAGCCTTATTAAGCCACATTCGAAAACCAGTAAATAAGGTTTATTAAGGTTTAATAAGGCTTAATAAGGCTTAACAAGGCTTAACAAGGCTTAATAAGGCTTATTCCCCTTCACGCTGCTTGGCTGCGCATGGTGCTTATTCATTTGGGGGGGGGGCTTTGGAGGGTAGCTTCTCTCCTGAACTATTCCCCATATCTCAGTCAGGTAGGAGGGCTGCAAAACCATATCTCAATAGGGAGGTTGTGTCATCTACTTTTATTCAGCAACCATCCTGGCCCTTTCGTCTGACTTCTCGAGATGACCAAAAAGAAGTCCAAACTTTTTGTATGACACTGAAGCGGCAACCAAACCCCAAAAGTACAAGACTTGCAGGTGCTCAGTAGGAAATGTGGGAATGAATCCAGGGATTCTTTCAGAAAACCACCCGTTGGATGGTTCACAAGGATCATTCCATGTCTCATTCCCTGTCTATCGAAGGCACCAGCCAGACGAACTCAGGTGAGCATGGCATAGGTGTCCTCTTAGAAGAAATAGATGGGTTTCCCTCCTAGATGATGAAACCACCAGGCAAACCAGGAATCGAACCCCCTCGATTTTTCCAGTTTTCAACACCACCAAAAAGGACACCTGCGCCAAGTGATCTCCTCCTTTTCGCCTCGCCCCCCCCCCCAGGACAAAAAATATACATATATATATATATACATATATATATATACATATATATATATATATCTTATTTGCTTTAAAGAAGAAGAAAACCAAAAACGCCCCCCGCCTCCCGCGGATTCGCGCTCGGCTCCCTGGGCTCCGGCTCGCCTCGTTTTTCAAGAGCCATTTGCCTTTTCGCCCTCCGTGGAGCCAAAATCCAAAACGGGGCACCTCGAGAAAAAAAAAAAAAAAAAAAAAAAACGGGAACTTTCAAAAACGCGGAAAACCGGCTTAAATACTATATTTTTGAGCGTGAAACGGTCCGGGAAAAGCCTCACACTAGCCCGGAACCTTCCAGTGGCATTTGTTCGCCCACGGGAAAGAGAAAGAAGAAGAAGAAGTATGTCCAATAATGATAGATTCAGTCCCTTTGAAGCCAACAGGGCAAAATGAAAACAATATTCATTTCGGCAAATGGAAGCTTCTAATCGCTGGTTTGGAGCCCGGTGATTGTAGTTTGGGAAACCGCCACTTACCCACAAGAATTCATATGCCCAAACCCGCCCAAACCACCCATCCAAACCACCACCAACCTCACGGGTTAAGTGGCGTGGTTTCCAATTTGCCCACAAGAGCCAGGGGTTCAAGCCCCCCAAACCACCAACAAAAGGCCTTGGTAAGGTCTTGTTGGAGCCGAAGACGCAAACAAACTTCCGGTGGCTTGGAGCCTGGTTGTTGTGGCTTGCCTCCCCTGGTGTCCTGTAAATCTTCATGTGGTCTTGTTGGAATTGTAGTTTAAGGGAAACAAGGATTAGGGAGATCAACTCAAGTCAAGCGAGAATCAATCGCAACCATTTGCACAAATTGCCGCAAAGCATAAGTTTCTATGAAAGGAACCTTCCTGTTTTGCTCTTTGTGCGGCTGAGGTTACAAGTTTGCCTGGGGAGTGATTAAACTCTCGGTGGCGCTCAAGGTTCAAGAAGCCGATATGTGAAAACTCTCACCGAGCTCGTTGAAACGACCTGGGTATGAAAGACGGTCGCCATGTGGAACCATGGCTGAAGATGGTGAAGCAAACAACGAAAAGGCAACGAGGAACTTCGCACCTGATTTAGAGTATGGACTGCGAAGGGTTGTGGCGTTGTACCGTGCTTCACAGCATGGAATCGTCCACAGACGTAACTTCAGCAACACATGTCGAAAAATGGAAGCACTGCCAACGGCGGAGATTCAGCATGTGGTTACATGTAATTTCCCTCAAACCAAACTAGGTGTGTGCAAATGGACTTCCTTTGCTTGTAGGTGGTTGGCATATTCCTTTCTGCAACGCCAAAGTGATTGAGTACCACGCGTCCTTGTTCACTTCAAAGTGGACGCTCTTGGTGTCACAGAAAGTTGCAGAGCCAAAAACATCGAACAACCACTAGGGTCCACAACACAATCCTTCTTTGCCTGATCCCAGGCTACACCAAAAATGCGAATTCCAGACTCTGGTTCACAGTTCGCCCATCCACTTAGACAGAACGGAGGAGACTCACACATCCCATTTTGAAGGCTACGCAAGAATACAATGCAACCCACGGGCGAAAAGGGGAAACAACACAAGTTTGGGAGGCTACCCAAAAAAATGAAAATGCGCAAAAAGGGGGAAAATAAACACACATTTGGGTCCGACTCTTAAGAATAGCGGCGCACAACACAACCAAAAACAAGGCAAGGCGCTGAAGTACGCCTCTGCCTGCTCGCCATCCACCTCCGACTTCTGCCGTCCCCGGCGCAGGCCGGTGATCTCGCCGTGGGCGCCCACGTGGTGACCCGCACGGAACGCCTCACGGATGTTTTTTGGCCGAAGGCGTTTGGGGGGTTCGATGGCTTCCCAGAGGGGAAAGACTTCCCCCGCTGACCAGGCCAGTCCCGCGATGGCAACATGAAGGTCACTTGGGTTGTGATGGGAAGGTGTAAGGGAAGTAACCCAAGTAGCCATGGTTATGAACATGCTGAATGGATGGGTCCACTAGAGCGGGCAATCTGCCCATAACCTGATCCATCCGACGCACCACCTAAGAAATTCAGAAACCCTGGTTTCTGATGACCCACCCTGTAAATACCAACAAACCATGGTTTCATTCCCATGGTTTCAAAGTAATGACCGCAGCTGGCCTGGTAGTCCTGACGATAAGCCCGTAACTCCTCCGGCTCCAGTTGCGGCAGGAACTCCAGCGGCGGGCCCAGCATGCCATCCCGACTCCGCCGGCGAGGGGTTGCAGTGTCCGAACCGGAAAAGAAAAACGAGAGGAACACCTGAGTCGTAATCAACAACTCAGTATTAAAATGGTCTACCCAGAACCATGTTTCAAGAATTAAGAAGGCGGCCGCAACGATTTCTGGCTGGGACTGCCCCTTACTAACCTTCATCTACCCGGGTTTTGATTGTGGCACACCTGGCTGAGTTGACTGTCCAATTTTCGGCCCTGAACTCATGAAGCAATCTGGTAAGAAAGTAAGAAAGGTGGCTGGAAACTGAACAGGTTAAATGAAGGGACGCTCAGAGTCGTGACTTCAGGTTGGCATTGAGTGCTTCGTGCAGATATGCAGATATGCCGTTTCGAAGTCTGGGAGCTGCCGGCGAGACTCAAACTCTGGTGCTTGCAGTGTGTGACTTCGTGGTCTGGTTTTGGGATTCCAGTCAAATGGCGCCTTTGAAGACGGATATGGTGTCATGGCACACGCTTACCATACGCCTAGGCCACTGAACCGCCATAATCGCCGATTGTGCAAAGCTGTTTTGATGCACTGGGGTCAGGTCGGGCAAGACCTGACTCGGGTACTCGGCACCGATCTCAGTGCCAAACAGCTGCCGCGGAAGCGGTTGGCGATTTGCACTAGGAAACCCACACACACAGAGAGGGATCCGACCTGACCCTACCGCCCACTAGCATGGAACCTGAGAGGAAGTTGCTCCCTCCCACAAACGCTAGTGAGAGGCAGCGTGCATGTCTCATGTGTCGGATTAGCAACACAGAACTGGCGTTTGCGCAAATTGTGGTCCGAACCGGGGCCGGAAAAGGCGCCATTGGTTACCCCTGATGCAAAAAAGCCCCACGCCACGAAAGGAAGAAACAATAATTCCTAGTGAAATCTGAAATTTGCCCTCTTGTTTTGAAACAAAGGTTATGCAAACTTGTCTGTACCCCCGTTTCCACGGCTGCTGTCCTGCTTGGCCCTGTCATACTGTCATACTCTTAAAACTAAAGGCCGAGTGTCAAAACTAGACCCCTGACCTCAAAAGGTGGACTTACTTTTTTGGATCGCTTTCAAGGAAATCTTGGCGGACTAATGAACCCCTGGTTGATGAATTAGAAGCAAAACATCTACACATTTGCAGTGTTTTGTTTTTCCTTCAAGTTCCCTCTGGTGCCATGCGCTTCTTGTGGAGACCTGCCCGCAAGATCGCCCTTCACCCCTCCCGACGAAACGAAACGCGCCACGCAGCACCTGTTGTCGCAGGACCACCTGATGGAGAGAGACAAATGTAGAATCCCAGCCGGGGAAGAAGCCCCCCAGAACGCAAGCGCGGCATTGCCCCACTTGGTGGTTTCCGGATTGGGGTGGTGTCCCATTAGCCCTCTGCAAGAACCAGGTTTGACAAAAAAGGTGATGTCATGTGATGTCCCCTTGGCCCTCCATAACAACCAGGGGTTCAAATAGCTCAAATCCTTAAATCACCAATCCAAACCACCTCAGGGCAGGCTGAAGTAAGTGCTGAGCGCGCTTCTTGCTACGTCTTGCACATCTGCGCGCTGCTCTTGCATCCCGGGCCAAGTTGCCAAGGCCCCCCAGTTGCCTGGCGCTGTTGATCTTTCGAGCGTCAGGTGTGGAAGCCGAGCGCAGCGCATTGGTCGGCCTCACTCGCGGCAACTTCGATCTTGGACATGGCTCGCGCTCGCAAAGGCGCGGGGCAGCCTCCGCCTGCCAGTCTGCGCAGTCTGCCTCTGCCAGCCCCTCTGCGCCGGGACTGAGATCCAGCTTCTCCAGATACGGCTTCAACGTCTCTGCCTCACTTCAAAATGAATTCCCTGGATGCCCCTTAAGTGGATTGGCCAGCAAAAGTCCAAACTGTTCACCATTAACAAATGGTCTTCCCAAAAAGTTTGAGGTCCAGGAATTCGGGAAGTGAGCTGCCTCCTGGATAGTCAGCAAATCCACGCTATCCTCTTGAACTTCAGGAGCTGCAAACGCAGCTCTGTGCCAGTGCCGAGGGCGGGTGAACGGACCTCCAGTTGGCCTTCCCGACTCGGCAGCGGGGGGAGACCGGAAGAACTTGGCTCGTTGCTTCTCGCCACTCCGGTGATAGGCAACAATCCTCAGCTACCCTGGTACTGAACAAGCCCAACAAAAATGAAGCATCCAAAAGAAGAACAAAGATACTGAGTTGCATCTGGGGAGCAAGTCCGAACGAGGGTCCAACAAGGGGTAGCCAAAGGAAGTCAACCATTGGCATCGCCACTTGTGCCGGGTTGCCCTGTGGTCGGTGGGTTGTCTATTGAACTTCTCCAGAAAAGCTTAAGTCAAAGAAGAACTGCAAGACTCCTCCTCCCCTGAAGGTAGCGGGTTACCGTAGCTCCTCCAAATTAAGAAGAACAAATCGCCAAGCTCGTCTTTGCCCAAGTCTTTTGTCGGCAACTCTTTGGTTTAGCAGCTTGTGCGGCAGCATGTTTGGAAACCTGGTTGGGTCGATGAAAGGCCTTCAGCCAAAAACTTGTGGGAAATGAAATCACCAATCCAATTGACCCCCCCCCCACGCTTACAGCTTATGTTTGCTGTGTTTCCAGTGCTGCCAGGAAAAGTCAAGTCACAAGGCAGGGTTGTCTCCCCATCAAACCGACAAGGGGGACAAAACCCAAAGTCAACAAGCAGGGAACAAGTTGACAAATCAACTAACCCACAATTTCAGGGGATCCACCGACTGCTCACCATTTGAAGGATGGTTTGGCTCACCACTTGCTGAATTGATGAGGCTAAAACAAAGATGACTGGAACGAGTGAACAGGTCCTCGGCAGAATCACGTGGAAACTCTAAAACCCCAAGCACCATCATTTTTTTGCGGAACCTGCTTGAGGGTAATCCCCCCCCCCACCCCGCTCCATGCTAATTTGCAAGGGGGCAGGCGGGAATTAGCCTCCACTCAATTGCCCAACAAAACATATCCTCCCACCAACTAACATGGAACCTGACGTTGGGGGTCCCTTTCGGAGAACAATGTCCAAGCCAGCACCCCCCCGACCGTCAGGTCCATGTCAATTGGTGGCTGGGGGTCAAAAGGTCAAACTTTTGGTGGGAGCATGGACCAAAAAGGGGGTGCTACAAGGTCACTTCCGAGTCAGGAACGGTGCCATTCTGAGTTGCACCCCCGGTTCTTGGCATGTTAAGTTTTTGGGTGTTCTGGCTGTTCGTTTTGAGTAGGGCCTGCAAAACACAAAGTCTTTTGCAGCCATAAAAAGGGTTGGAAAGTCTGGACTTTTTGTTTACCACCACAATGGTCCAAACCCATAAAGTGACGATCAAGTCCGAAACGGAGCAAAACGAACTTGAGAAAACCCGCCACCCCCCATCCCTCCCCATCCCCAGCCGTAGTATTGGACACTGAACAGGTCTATTTTGCAACCTCCTTCACTTACCAGGATGTTGGTTTTGTAGGGCTTGCGTCCGCAACAGAAACTCTCTCTGCGTCCACAGGCCCCCCCCCCCACATACTGTGGATGGACGAAATCCTGCACCACCTAAGAAATTCTGGAATGATGATTCCTTTGTCAATACCAACAAGCAATGGTTTCCCATGGTTTCTCAGGTGGTGCGAATTTGATTTCGTCCATCCACAGCAGGCCCACCCCACCCCACCCCTCCCCACCCCACCCCACCCCCCCCCCCCCCCCCCCGCGCCGCGCCTCCTCGGCCGCCTCCAGCTCCCGGCGCTTCGCGGCCACCTGCTGCCACACCTCGCGGCGCGAGGAGGCCCGAAGGCCGGCCACTCAGAACACGCAGAGTTCCCCCAACGTCAGCCCCTAACAGCGCCAAAAAACCCCCAATTCTTCTTCATGGGCCAAAAAGGTGAGCTGGGCCCTCCAGATTTGAGAGGTTGGACTGAGTTGGTACCCACTTTTTTTTTCTTTTTCTTGTCGATTCTAGAAGGGGAACCCCAAAAAAACAAAAAAGGGTGAGAAAGGGCGCTACTGGACGACCAAAGGGCTCCCTAGATGTCCGCTAAAAACATCAGCCCCACCAAGAAAACGAACAAAATGTGAGGTTGTCTAAAACCGCCCAATAAAACGGAACTCTAGGGAGCCTTGACAAAACTCGATTTGCGTTTGGCAGGGAAATGGCGGGACCATGTGCCCGAGGGTTCAACCAGCAAAAGAATGGCCATGGGACCCAAAAAAATGCAAAACTTGCTGCTGCGAGAGGCAAGAATGAGAAATGGCCACGATCCAGGCTTTGGCCCCCTCAAAGGACACCACCGCTTGGACGGAATTTATAGGGGGCCTCCCAGTTCTCATTCCCTGCCTATCGAAGGCAGCAAGAAAAATACGCCCTTGGACTTTTGAACACCCCTCTTGAACCCGCCTTTGGAAGGTTTCTGACAGCCCCCGAACTCTCTGGGCCCGGACTTGGGCTATAAAAGGCGCTCACCTTGTAAAGCCAGGACTGAAAACGGACCAACGTGGGAAAACACAAGATGCTAAAATGGCGGGTTTTGGAAGCAGTTATGTACAGGGACCGGGGAAATGGGTGTTCCTTGCGTCCCTTTCTTCGAACCAACTTCTGGAGAATGTAAAGCAACACAAACACCCATATGCGTCATGATAGACTTGTGGCATCAAAGCGGCCGACCCACCATGTGGCAAGAATCGGGGCGGATGTCAGCACCTATTTATGCCAGAGACTGACCCTTGCTATCCTTCATTTGCCTCGGTTTTGCTGGTGGCTAAACTGGGAAACCCGAAAAAGTGCACAAGAGTGGGTTCTCAAACAATTAGATATGCAACGCCAATGTGTGTTGACGTGTTGACCCTGCCTGACGCACGTGTCTCAATATGGGATCATACCATCATGGGCTTCCGTTTCTGAATCAAAGGTACCCGCCCACATGCCTAACCTGAAAAGCAACCTGACAAGCACCCCCAACCTCCAAAACGAAACTCACCTTCAGGCGGGCAGACAAAGGATCTGGGTGAATTGGAATACTTCACCAGCCTGAAATAAGGTGGTTGGAGGGATGTTCCCGCATAAAACCACCATTTGGGGAGGTCGTGTGAGGTCGTCACAATTCACCCAGAAAGATGCACATGAGTTTGGAGGCCACCGCATGAGGACAGGGAAGCCTGACGCCATCAGAGTTTCCTTGGGGGAGAACAACGGAGCCCGCCGCAGGGGAGGGCAAAAGGCCGAAGCTGCAAAATGGCTGGCGCCTCATGCCTTGGGTGCTGCAGATCCCCCAGCAAAAAGTTTAACTGTTTGCTGGTTAAAAGGAAATATGAGGGGAATCCACAAAAAGTTAAAGCCTAAAGATCCAACACAACAGCAGTAGCGATGTTGCCATCCCTTTTGCGCAAAAGAAACCGCCCTAAACCTTCAACTGGCTGCGTTGCCTTGAGCACACCACACCCCTCAAGCTTCAAATGGCTGACATAATCTGACATATGCTTCTTTCCCTTCAGGCCCCTTAGGAGATGAGCCAGGAGGCATAGTCGCATTTGAGTCGGCCACCAATATTCAACTCCCAGCTGAAGATGAATCTCCTTTCGGCAAAGGGACCCCCTCTTGATTTTTTGGGGCTCCATGTGCCCCCCCCCCCCCAACAAAAAAAAAAAATACGTCTTAGAGGTGTCTCCTTGTGGGGGGAACCTGTTTCAGCGTGTGGATTCATCGCTTGCCTCAAGGCTTCATTCCCCGGCCTCCATGTGCCGCTGCACCTCTGCGTCCATGTGACGGCACCTGGGCGCAGACGCCGGGCATGGCACTGGGACCTCCCAACCTGGTCTGTGAAGCATCTCCGGCGATCCTTGGTCTCCCAAGTGGCTGTGGCTTAAAAAACCGGAACTCCAAAATGGTGTGCCCTGGTAATTAAGTGGAAACATGGACCAAAACCTGCGGTTTGCCCCTCCTGGTTCATTTTGAGCCACAGCCAACTGGGGGATACTACTCACTTGCCATATGGGGCAGTTGTGCCGGTGCGAAGCTCGCTCCACTTGGGCTGTAAGCAGAAATCCGAGGTTCGGTTCGTTCATCGCAAAACCGAAGGATTTCTTCGGAGACCCGCAAAAATTGACCGGAAACACGCTTCTCCTGAGTGGATTGGCCAAAAACACAACGTTGCATGTGCCACTCGAACGGTCCAACCCAAAAAGTGACCAAAGTCCGAAATGGAACCTGGGGAGTTTGTTGAACTACAGAACATCATATACATATACATATATGTATTGCACCACAAAGAAAAAGGCGATCTTCGAGCGACTCGACCGCGTAATACCGCGTATAAGCCTTCGAATCCGAGAAAAAGATCGGTGCCCGGGCTGTTTGCTGAGCGATGTGTCCTCCTTGGGGTCTTTGGTGCCCCAGTTGCCCAGGGCCCGGGCCTGGCGACGGTCGGGGAGGGGTTCTCCCGTGGGGAGGCGCATGGGTCAGGTTTCAACCTGTTGCAACCCCAGCCTCCAGCACCCAACGACCTGCTTTTTGGCTTTAGACGAGCAGTTGGGGCGCGATGGTAAACTGGGCTGTCCTCAAATCCCTCGCTGAAAGTGACTAACTTGTGGACACCCTGGCGCTAAACCACCTCAAAGCAACTAAAAGCCTAAGTTGAACCGGACGGCTGGGAGCCACAAAGCAAAGAATCAAGTAATGGGTTTACAAGAAAAAACCCTGAAAAGGTGCGACCATCGAACCCCTAACGCCCTAATGGGGGTAGGTACAAGGGGGGTGGGCAGTTGACCCCTGAACCACCCCCTTCAAAACGGGACTCCTGAATGTTGGTGCCCGCACTCCACTCGGAACATGGCGCGATTTCAAGGTGGGCCCTTCCAAGCAACATTGGTCCTCCATTTGCGGCTTAAGTCCCCCGGAAGATGGACATGTGTGCTAGGTCGCATTTAACACAAAGAGGGGAACATTAAAAAAAATAAAAAAAAATAAAATGTTCTTAAGCAACTGGAAGTGGCTTGGTGCGCAGGCCCACTTGTCCCTTTCTACTTGCTTCATCTCGGAAAGGAATCCTCTGCACTGCTCTTGTTTGGAGGATGTCTGCAAGCCAACATTGTTGGCTTCCAGTTTCAAGCCAACACGCGAGTGCTGACGCATCAAACCCCGACTGAACCATGAACGAGGGAAAGATGTCACGCAAGTTAAGGACTAGCTTTTTAGTAGAGAATGATTTGGGCGGACAGCTAGATCCTAAATGGCCTCGCTGGAGAAAAAAAACGGCCTGCCTGAGGCTGAAAAGAGACCCTCTGAACGGCTTCTCTAGGTCCTCCAGATTTGAGAGCTTAGAATAAGTTGGTACCAACTTGTTTCTGCGGTCTATTTTAGTAGGGGAACCCAAAAAAAAACCCAAAAAAAGGTTGAGAAAGGGCACCTAGCTGGGGGACCTGGAGAATATGCGATATGGACAAGTTGCCAAGGAGTTCGCAAGAAAGAGCTTTTGGTCGATCCTTCCACCTGAACATGGGACCTGGGACCCCCCCCAATAACCAACCAGGGCTAACAAGCCTGAAGCTTCATTGACGTCCAAAGTCAATGAGTCACATGTAAGTATAATCTTTCCGGATTGCCCTTTGGAAGTTGCTTGTTTCAAAGATGTTTCTCTGAAGAAGGCCACCTGTAGCCCGGGGCTGGTATCCCCAACAGCCCGGAACCCCAACCTCTCCCGAACCCTCCCTGAAAGCTGCCCCAAACAACCCAGAGCCGATCTGGGCAGAGACACTAGTGGGGAAAAAGGAGGAAGGAGAACAAGGCTCCACGTGGGAACGAACAAAACACACCTTCGGCCGATTTCCGCCGCTCACCTCTAGAACCGCCTGTGACTGCAGCACGCTCTGCTGCATGTCTTCCATCCTGAGGATAAAGGACTCTCCGCAGCTGCACAAATGGTGTCATGCTAAATCGGGGGCCTCAAAAAACAAAGCAACGAAAAAGGGAAACCGAAACCTTCAGTGGAAACTCCTGGACTCGGTCCTCCAGTAGAGAGGTTAGAATACGGCTATAACCTTTTTCTGCCGTCTATTTTAAGTAGGGAAGCCTCCCTAAAAAAGGGGAGAGAAGGGCACTACTGGGGGACCTAGCAGGTGACTCCAGGGATGTCCCAGGTGCAATTGCACGGCTGTCTTCCTCTCGCCTCTTGCAGCCTTTCAGCCCCCGGCTGCTGCCAGGTCTTGTCCAAGGCCGTCTTCAGCGCACTGGCCCTCGAAGTGGGCAGCTGTGAAAATGACGGGGGCCGGGACCCCATCCAAATGGTGTGGTTTCCTTTTGGCTGCCATGTAAAACACGGTGAAAAACGTGGCAGCCTCAATAACACGTACACACACACAGGCGCCGAGCGAGTGGCCCTGGGGGTGTGGGGGTGCGGGTGGGAAAGCAGAAGGCCCCAGCTTGCACCCAAGCGCCGGCTCGCCCCCACCCCGAGGCAGATGCTGCTCTTCTTGCAGGACCTCAGCCACAGACAAGCGGAAGGCCGGAAGCCAAATGAGGCGACCTGGTCCCCTCTGGGCTTCCTTGTCGAAATGGTTCGTACCCCTTTTAACCAACCCATGGTTTAAACACAAAAACTAGGTCCTCCAGATTTGAATAAGGGTAACTTTGTTCTTTTCTGTCTGTTTTAGTAGGGGAACCCTCCCAACCAAAAAAGGGGAGAGAGGGGCACTACTGGGGGACCTAGACATGCCCACGGAGGTTTTGCACATTGCTCAGTTCGCAAATGCTTTGCTCACAAAGTCGTGGGCGGCAACTCGAATCTTACCCGCCTGAAAAGCAAAACGGCACTAGGGCTGAATGGCAATTGTCCAACAGGTTGAAAGGTGAAGGACAAAAAGCATTGCCAATAGAAGGTGCTGCACCCGTGACGTCGCTCCGAATCGCAATGACATGAAATGCATACCTCTTGGCGGGAACAGCTCGTTGAACACAACAAGTGCTACGTCTGCGCAAAAGAACAGCTCGCGCTAGGCCTGATCTTTTCACAGCTAACCGGCTCAGCATGCAAGTCCCCAGGTTTGCGTGCCATCTTCTCAGCTCTTCTTGCTCTTTGCCTTCTTTCCCTTCGCCTCCACGTTGCCCGTAGCTGCCATCTCCTGCCGCTGCTTCTTGAGCCAAGCCACCGCCCGGCTGAAGGCCTTCTCCAGCTCCAGCTCCGTGTGGTCCAGAGGCTTGAACGCGCGCGTCTGCCGATGTTTTCTGCCAGGGGTGCCCGCCTGCCAGCCTTGATCTCGCACCTTGCTGGCTGCTGATCCCGCTGCCAAAACGTGGACCACTTTTCGCGGCTTCAGTGGACAATTCTTCATTTCAACCAAAAAGTGAAAAAGTCTAAAAGATCCAACCCAAGAGCAGCCAAGGGACGTGCCAAGTGACGCCCGGGAAGGGCGCCTTGGGCCGGAAGACCGGCAGCCGCGCCCGCGAGGCGCAGCTTTTCAGGGAGCGCTGCAGCCCGTGGAGCTCCCGCAGCTCCAGGGCCCGCTCCTCCGCCGCGGCCTTCTGCGTGAAGTAGCCGCCCTGGATCTTCCGGCCGCCGGACCCGGAGATTTCGACTTTCCACTTCCTTGGCTGCAACGACCCCCCTGCAAAAAAACAAGTGTTGACCACTTTTTAGGGGGGGTGGTGGAAAACCCAACTTGATTTCAACCAAAAGTGGAAAAAGTCGAAAGATCCAACCCGAGAGCAGTCAAGCTTCTTCCGCCCCTTGGCAAACGCGACTCCGGGCACCTCGGAGGTGAGGCTCTCGTCCCGGACCTTCTCCTTGATGCGGCCCTCAGCCACCAGCTCTGCGCGGAAGGCCTTGGCGGCTTTTAGCGCGGATGCCTCAGCCGCCGCCTCGTCAGAGCCGTCCTTCATGAAGCTGCTGATGGTGTAACTACGGATATGTCGCGTGCTGGCCCCGTTGCTGTCCCTTTCCGTCCATTGGAGCTGCCAACAAAACCTGCTCCTTTGCCAGCTGATGCCTGGAACCCCACTCTGCTTCTCCTGCTGTTTGCACAGCACCCGCACAGGCTTCACGGCATTGCTCGCAGCCCACGCTGCAACAGCCCCAGATGCTGCAGCTGACTGCGGGGCGGCAGTGGGCAACTGAGCAGCTGGTTGCCCAGAAGTGCCGGCAGACTCCCAGACTTGGACACCTTGCATGCCTTCTGCCCCGCCCGTTGAGGACAAGCGCTGTGGGCCGCTCTGATCATAGGCCCAGCCGCGACCAGCCCAGATGTGGCTGGGTAGGTCCCGCATCCAGGGCCACATCTTCATGCATGAGCCTGCTTCCTCCTCGGCGGTCGCCGCAGCGCCTCGCCAGGCCCAAAATGCCCGGAATGTTTTCAGCATCGGTGGGTTGGTCTTTACCCAGCAAACTAAAGCGGTCCCGAACACGACCATGTTCCACCATGCTAGAAGGGTATCTCGGCCAAACTGAGCAACCGAACTCAATTCCAAGAACTGTGGTGTGAACCGCTCGCATTCCAAGTTCCGAGGCCCCGACGTGCTGCGGCCTTCGTCGCTGGGCCGGTTGCCAGCGGAGCTGAAACAACGGGATGCCCGCGGTCGAAGAACCGCCGCAGGCAGCTCAGCTCCTTCTGGGACAAGCGCTGCACGCAGGGCGAGTCCTCCTCCTGTGGCGCCACCGGGTGGCTGAAGAAGACGTTCGCCGGACAACAGGGCCTGGCAAATGCGCCAAACAAATTATGCATGCTCGGACCGTGGATCTGCCGTTCTCAAAGTGCAGCACCAAGCTGCAAGAAGGAAACCCTCCCCAAAATTATCTTGGACAACATGTCCACTTCAAGGCACTTGTTTGGCAAAAAATAATCTGCCTCTGGAAACGCTTTTTCCCCCCGGCCTCGTAGGCATCCAAGTGGCCCTCCTCCTTTTGAACTCGGCGCATTGCCGGGCCCACGCGACCATCCGCTGCTCGAACGCCGCCCGCTTGCCAGCAGCCAGGTCCGGCAGACCCTCCGCCACCTCCTTGCGCCCGGCCAGGGAACGGGCGCTTTGGTTGGTAGCATTTGAATTTGAAAGGGAAGCTTTTTGTTGGCCACAGCAAATGAGAAAGAAGAAAAAAAGCGGCACCACCTCAGGGCACGGCTTTCCCTGAAGGTGAAGCTACGTATTTCTCAACCACCAGCAAAAGTCAAGCTGAGACTCAGCCAGCCGTCAAGCTGGAGAAAGCCAGTTCACCAAAGAGGTCTACCAAAAAAAGGGGGGGGGGTCCTTTTTTTCTCGGTTTTTGGAGGGCGTTTCCCTGGAAAACGAACCAACCCAAAAAACATGGTGCCAGCAGCTCAATTTGTTGCGTTAATCCCAAAAAAGCCTATGCTGTAACAAACAAAATACTTGCCGAATGCGCAAAGAAACAACATGCATGTCCTGTCACAGATTAGCTGTTTTGGCTGGATCCATTCGCGCCCAGCACTCCTGGTGTCCGCTCTCTGCAAGCTCGACCTTCGCCACTGTGCCAGCTTCAACCTTGCAGAATCCAACAGCTTCTCCCTTCATGAAGCCTCCCTTCAGGCTTTCCGCATCCATTGCCCGCGCTTCCTCCTTCACCTCTTCTTTTGTTTTCGCCCAGAAGCTGTGCAAGTCAAGGCTCTCCTCTTTCATTTCGCTCTTGATGCAGCCCACGATCCGGCCCACCTCCGAATCATGCCGCCGCAGGCGTCGACGCTTCACAGGCGGAAAGTGGCTCTGCTCCTTCTTCATTGGACACTCGAGCTTCACACTGGCCGCGTGTCCCACCTGCGTCACGCTCTCCTCTTTGATCTTTTCCGCCTTCATGCCTGCGTGCCGCCCACGGCGCAGCGGGAGGTCTGGCATAAAAAGCGGTCCGGTCGTGGCAATGCCCCGGTGGAGCTGAAAACTGCAGCTGAAAACTCAGCACTACTCCGACACACATGCAAGGCCAGGTCAAACATATCGGATCCCAGAGCATCACCTTTCATACCGGGGCCGGACATTCAGCTAGGTTTTCCAGTAGAGAGGTTAGAATAAGGATATGCCCCTTTTTTCTGTAGTCTATTTTAGTCGGGGAACCCACTTCGTCCACTCCCCAACTACTCCCCCGGAGGCCTCCGAGCGGCGCAAACCGGACCACTTTCACCCGGGTTCCCCGGCCATCTTCTGATGAAGCTCGTACTCCTAGCCGTGGTGGGGGTGGTGGGGGGGGCAAAAACGGCAAGTCTCGCGCGGTTGCGAGCCGGGCTGGGCAATCTTTGCTTCAACGAGACCGGACTCATCTTCCGAAACCTGCGGTGGCTTCAGCATGGTCGATCGAGGGGTTGGCCTGCAGGCCTGCCTGACTCCAAACGAGGGGCTGGCAGGATCATGCCAACGTGAGGAGCCAATAACCAGTCGAGTCAAATCCCAGAGGTGAAAGAACACAACCTTCAGGTAAGTCTCATTTTGGCCCCAGGCGCCACTGAACAAACCCAAGAATACAAAACTTGGAAGCTTTGAGCAGCTTTCGCACTTCCCTGTATTGGGAGACCATCTTAAATCTTCAATTCCAGGCGCGAAAACCTCTTGCGGCACCAAATTCTTCAGCCACGGGCCCCAGGTCGACCTCCCAACATCAAGTGGGCTGCTCAGCATGGATTCCGAATCCATCCCAAGGAAACGACTGCAAGGGGACCAAGTCCCTACTTCACCCCAAACCAGGATCTTGCAGATTGCCTTTGAACAACCCAGCTTGCCCAAAGGACACGGGCACTTAATTATTCTAGCTTGCGGCTCTTGTGCTGGCAGGGCCGTTGAAAACTACAGAAACTTGGGTGTGTCTTTTGGGGGACCCCCCAAATGGTAGTTTTCCTCTTGGTTTCCCATCAACACCCAAAAAACAGTTCCCTCAAGAAAGACAGAGCCACTTCTTCCGCAGTGCCAACGCGGGATTACGGTCTCACTTTCCACCCTTTGGGGTGTCTTGCCTCAACGGCCGACAGAGCACTTCAGAAGCCAACAAAAGTCTAAGCTTCCATTTGCGTTTTCGCCCCATGGAAAGACGAGACATTATTTCCTGTAGTAGAATCGATTCCCTTTAAAACAAAAACAGAGAAATACAGAAAATATCCTTTTACATGCCCCCCTCTGTAACATCACCCCGCCAAAACCGGGAACTTGCGGCGGCCAAGCCCCGTGTAATTTGCCTCAGGTACCATGGGTTAACCCCTACAGCGAAATTGCAAGGGGTTTGCACTGCAAGATGCAAAAATCCAAGTCAAAAGGTGAACCTTGAAATCTGGGGGTGTCTGCGCGCCTCCTGCGTGCATGCCTCTACTTGTCGACATCTCGCTTGCCTGGGGCAATGCAAGATCCCTGGAGAATTGAGGCCTAAATGGCTTCCATTGCCTGCAACCACTACCTGCGGCGGGTTTAACTGGGACGTGTAACCATTTCGTAGCCACCACATACTAACTCTGGGAGTAGTGGCTTGGAGGTAGTGGGAACCACCTTAGAGTTTAGGGGGGCGGGGACTTGGGGAGATCTGCGACAAACTGGTCTTCGAAAACGGGGGGTTTACTGGTAAAATGTCGACACCCCAACTAAGAAAATGACAAGGTAGTGGTTCAATCAGGGATCCAATTATAGGTGGCCTTTTGGAAAAATAGATGGCCCTGGTCAAGGGAATAAACCCCATCTAAACCAGGGCCCTCTATTTTTTAAGCAAACCAACCAAAAAGGACACCTATGGATCCAATTATAGTCTCTTCTTTCTGTTCAAGGGGCTCCCTCGATCGTGCCTATAGCAGAATAGCCCTCCGTTCCTCTGGCATTCTGTTCACAAACTGGCCCCCCCCTTTTGGACAGTCGAGGGTTGGGGACGACGCTGAAACTCCCCTCCCCCGCTCAACCCTCTCATTCTCTACTCCGTTTGACCTTATTTCATGTCCATGTGATATCCCTGTAGAGTGTGCCTGAAGCTTGCGACGCTCTTCTGAAGAGCAATCACAACCATTTGCAGAGAAAGCCGCTTTTGCGAGTCTTGCAGTTTCACGCGTTGTTTTTCAGGGGGTGGATATGAGTGTCTTCTGATGTCTTCTGTGCCCACTTTTCACCTTGCTTGCCAAAACTCCGAAACCACCAATTCTGGTGGGTCACAAAAAAAGACACACCCATATGTAAGCTTCTCAAAGTGGACCTTGTTTTTGTTGGCATTGAAAAGAAAGCGCCAAAAGGAAACCAACCGTTTGAGGGGATCCCCCCAAAATTTGAGAGACTTTCCGAGAGGGCGGTGACGATTTTTTTCGCACCAGCCAAGAAACGAAAGGTTGAAACCATGGACGTTTCTTGGTGTTTACCGTTCGGGGAGTCGAAGCTTTCCAATTTGGGCTTCTTAACGGTACGTGAAACCAAGCGGCTTTCGCGACCGCCGGAATCAATCGGAAAACGGGGGTGGTGCTCTTTAAAGCTCTGTTGGTTTCCCTTGTAAGGCCCACCCACAAACCAAAAAAAACACCTTTGGCTCTTTAACGTTCTTTTGGCTTCCCTTGTAAGACCCACCAAAACCCCCCCAAAAAAAAACGGGGCCCAACCCTCCCCAAAAAAAGGCACACGAGGCCGCCTGCCGGTTCCCCCGTCAGCACCCGCCCGGTTGTGCGGAACTTGGGCCCCCGGCCAGGCCGCCTTCGCCTCCTGGCAGCGTTCCCACGGGGAACGCAGAACTCATGGGACCACGAAAAAGCCGTCGCCGCATTTATAGGGCACACCCCCCCCCCAGTAACAAAACGGCCCCTTTGCAAGGAACATGGGCATCGCAGGGCTTCGCGGCTCCCAAGCTTCAATTTGCTGCGGAAGGAGAAGATGTGTCCAGTTGAGAAGTCGGTCCCCTCTAAAACCAAGAGGGGGAATGCAAAACTTTACCCTTTTTTTTTGGCTCAGCCCAAGGGAAGGAAGAGACCGAGGCAGGGGCAAAAAGAATGAGCCCCTATAGGGGCCCTATAAATATGATGGCTTTTCTCGTGGCTGTACCACATTGTTTGTTTAACACTAAACATAATAATAATGATAACAATAATAATGATAATAATAATATATATATATATATGTATAATAATCATATATATATATATATTTAAAAAGCGGCGGAAAAAAGAAGAAGGAACCAACGCGCCGGTAGCCTTCGGGGCTTGGGAGCCTGAAGCTCCGAGGAGCAATCCTCCGGGAAGCTCCGGGCTCTGAATCGGTGCGTCTCTTTGGAGTTTTGGTTCGACCGGGAAGTTCTGGGCGGATTTTGTTTGGAGTTGGCACCCCCTGGTGTGGGTGGTTTCGAAGGGAAGCCAACAGGAAACCCCACCATGGAATCTCCCCACACAAAAAGAAATCGACACTCCCCGAGCCAAAAGTGGATGCTTGTTTTTTTACAGTACTAGGGTGGGCACACCATTGAGACGACCCTGGAAAAGGAAGCATTTCCCAAGTGAGTTCGCCCAACGCCCCTGGTTTTGTTGGAAATTCCTGGGGATGGCTTCTTATGGAGCTGGGGCAAGTTCCCCTAGAACCATTGTTGCAACCTACTAAGTAAGCGGTTTAAATGGTTTCCTTGGTAAATATGGGTCGTCTCTTACTAATTACTTACCCAGGCCGTCCTCAGCTCCTCTGCTAAAAGTTCATAAGTGGAAGCCCCCGCTAAACAAACCAAATACCTAGAAACCTAAAGGAACCGAATGGCTAGGAACCACCAAGCTACTGCGCGGCGTCAAGGGCTAGAGCTGGGCCTGAGCTTCGCCCGAGGCTTGGAGGAAGGCCGCTGAGCAGTGAGGATCCAACGCGAACCGCCGAATCAACTGCCTCCTGATCAAACATCCAACTGGTTCAATTATCAGCTTGGTGTCTTACTGGAAATCCAGGTGGGAAAATATCAGCTTTAAAATAAGCAAGTGGGAACATGCAATCCAAGCACAGGTCCCCTGCCCCAACTCCCCCCAGTCCTCAATCTGACGCTGCATGCCCTGCAGCAGCAGACTACACCTACAGCATCCATCGCCATGATTCACTAATCATGGAGGAATCCAACAAACCTCTACCAGAATTCTTCGACCTCGTGAAAGCACACCAGCATCTCGCAAAGTACCATAACCCAACAACCAGACTCAAAAAAAATGAGGAACCTTCATCGAGGGTGAGCTCGTTCTACACCCAGCGTGAGCTCCCAACAACCCCTGGAGCAGCGGCCTCTTGCCTTCCCCCCCCCTGCCCCTTTGCTTGGAAGCCGAATGCCAAACGAAAATCATTGGGGCTGTTTTAACATTCTTGAGGCATTATAACCTCCCTAAGAAACAACATTTCCTTGAACCCGACTTAAACTGCCACTCTCTCCACTCTCTCCACTCTCTCCACTCTCTCCACTTCCACTTCCGCTCCCCTGCACTCCACTCCCCTCCACACACACACACACACCCCAACAAGAACCACTGACCACTAGGCTGATAGTAACCCAACTGTTGAGGAAAAGCTACTGACCCTCACAAACTACATGAGGGCTGTTAAAAAGACGGGTTCCAATTTGAGACCAAACGCTGCATTTGAAATTTCCCGTTGAACATCACCTCAAAGGAAACTCACTTTAAATTGGCAACAAAAAGGTTCTGCTCAAGACCCAAAGGAGAACCATAAATTCCGAAGAGGGCCGGCCAGTTATCTCTTTTACTCTTTCCCTTGCACAGGGTGGCGCCAAAGGCCCTGAGAAACCTCCATTATTGATTGAGAACAAAGGGGGGCCATTCCCCATTGCAATCATGCGTTCGGACGCCAGCTGCCCCCATCCCCCCAAGCAAACATGGAAGTACACACGCCCTTTATGGAAGACTGCTTTCCGTTTGGAAAGGGGGTTTGTGCAATTCCATGTTTGTCGGGAGCCCCATATTTATAGGAGACGCAAACAAATTGTCTACATTGCCCTTATACTCCCCTTGTACTACCCTTATATTACCCTTAGACTGCCCTAAAATCATAGGTAACCTAGTACTATTTCTGTAATGTCAACCCAGGATTCATAGCCCCTTTTTGTTACGCCGGGGGTGTCCCTGGTTGCCCCTGACCCCATAGAACTAAGCACGCCCAACATGCCCCGCCCCATCCCAGGAGTCGGGGCGATTTCTCCACCTGACAAAGGGGGGCCTGGCTTGGACCATGTTCCCTTTGAAGGGACTGGTGGGAGGATACTCGGTGCCCTTGTCTTGCTGGTTCGGTCAGGGAATGAGGCTGGAATGGCACTGTCTCTTGCTTGGACCATGCTCCTTTTGAAGGGACTGCCTCAAGAAAAACAGTCCCTTTAAGGGAATCCGTCCCTTGCATTCCTCACCACCCCCGCAGTCCCCTCCTCCGCCCCTCACGCCCTCGGCCCTTGGGCGTCCCCGCTGCTGCGAGTGCAACTGTCGCAGCGCCCGGATCTCCTCTTCCACGGCGGTCACCTGGCGCCGAGCCCGGTTTGGAGGTGCCCTCCAAAATCTCAGCAAACACGGGTGCAAATCCAAATTTGAAACACTAAAGAAGTACCTATGATTTTACTAGCTGAACGCCTCACTTCAGGAACAAAAACATATTTATCTAGTCTTCTGCTACGACTTTGACACTTTACATTCAAACAACAAGCAGTTGCTGCAATCATCCCCTCTTGGCGTCCTTGTCGAAATGGTTCATAATCAACCCCTTTCAAGCAACCCATACTGCTTTAAAAAACCCAAGAAGGTCTGGATTCGCTTTTACATGGAATCTCCCTGTTCTCCTGGGTGAGCCGATTTCAACCCGTGGCTCTCGCTTGGTGGGCGAACAAAGCGTTGCACACTGGGCCCAACGTGATGTTCCCGTGCGCTCCCCTACACGAAGCTTCCATTTTCTTAAGCCCCCAGGAAAAAAATAAAACATTTCCAGTAGTGATAGATTCCCTTTAAAACCAAGAGGGAAAAATACAAAATATTATTAAGCAAATAGAACGAAGGGAGAGGCGTTCCACTTGTCCAGTAACTAGTGGAGATCTGCAGGGGTCACCTTCTCAATTCTACCTTCAAGGCGACATGCTGCCACCTTTGTGGGTCGTGAAAGGCAAATCTTGCACAAGAGACCATCTCCGGGAAGTTGGCCACCCACAAAACTTCCTTTTGCGTTTTTGCCCCCAGGAGGGAAAAAACACAAATACTTCCAGTGGTGATAGATTCCCTTTAACACCAGCAAGGAAAAATGATAATAACACAAAAAGGTCTTAAGCAAAGGGATGAAAACACAGTGCCTCGGAGAGCTCCCTTGATTCTAGGGGTTGCTTCCGAACCATTGTTTGTTTTTTGTTTAAACCAACTGTTTTCCCAAGGTTGTGGGTGTTTTTTTGGAAAGAAGGATGCCAGGAAAGAATGGAAATGGAAGGTACCCCTAAATTGTTAATTTCCTGGAGTTTCGTTGCAACAGTTGGGGGCAGTTGCAAGCCGAAGGCCGCACCCCGACGAGAACTTCCACGTCCAGTCCATGGAGAGGCACAGGGCTCTGCGTTGTCCAGTGAACCATCGCCGAAAAAACCTGGGCCCACCTCTGGTCAGCATCCCAGCGGCTTGGATTGGTGGTTTGGAAGTGTTCCGGTGGCCATTTACCCTCTAAAAAAACCAAGATCCCTCCCCATACCCATCCGCACCGCCAAATGGCAACTCCTAGTGGTTTGGATCTTGGGGATTTAAACCCCATGCAGAGGGCGAATGGGAAAAAAGTTCCGGAACACCACCAAACCACCCATTCGGCTCCAAACCACCACTTGGAGGGCTGAATTTGAGAGTTGCCTGATTGAACATGAGAAAACCCTAAAGTCTAATAGTGTTGGAGGAGAGGATGAGATGATCTGACAAAATGGCAACCAACTTTGCATGGAGAAACCTCCTCAACAGACAATAGCGGGGGGGGGGGGGGCCCTGCAAGTGATGAACCCACCACTAAAAGAGGTGACATATCATTGCATATCATGGCCAGGCCAGTCAGGCCCCCTGCAAAAAGTTAACTTTGGTTAAAACGAACAACGAAGGACACCAAACAGGCGAAAGAGCAAATCATATCAGTCTGGCAATGCTATCTTGGCCCCGGGAAACCCCGACGAGGAGACTGCATGTTGTTTTTTGCGCGGCGCAGCGCAGCCTGCACATGTTCCCTCTCGCTCAAACTTTTGGAGCTGCAAGGGAGCTACTAGATGACGAATGTTCCGCCAACTAGTTTCCTCACTTGCCCAAAGCATCAGAACAAAAGGGATAGAAAGCTGAGAGACTGACTTGCTTGGCCGATGAATCAAAGTAGGTGAAAACTGGCGCAGAAGCTCGGTTCCTCTTGGGCAAGCGAGGTTCCTTGTGCACGCGAGCTGCATGTACCTTCTGTTGCACGCTGCTTTGAAGGGCTCGGGAATGCGAAGCGTACGGCCAGAAATGAAAAGATGCAACGCTGGCAAGCCAAAACTTGAGAGGCGGGTGAACGCAGCAACGACTCCCAGCTCAATGAACACCCGGGCAAGCAAGGCAAACAAACACTTCACCCCACGGGTATGTGTCAGAATTGGGCCGGACACCCCCCAAAAATGTTTTCCAAACCCACATAAAACGGTGCCGGAAAAAAAAACAGCAGGCAACCACATGCACAACCCCAAACAGAACGAAAAAAATGAAGCTGACAAGGGGTTGGTGCGAAGTGAGGGGGGGTCCCTAAGGCTCCTAAAGGAACTCTGGGATTCCATAGGAAGGATTTACTGGGGGCTGACCACTCTTGGTACCGCCCAAGGATCTCGCCAAAAGGATGGGCCATGCTCCGACACCTCGGCCTTTCCAAGGGCAGGTTCTTCTAAATGGGGCGTTCCCTAATCCTCATCTGTGATCTGCAGTGGGGCACTACTACAAGAAAGGAAGTCACTACCATGCGGCAAAAGGCTTAGAATTGATTCTGAACCACCCTGCAAGGGTGGCTTTGTCAATGCAGCTCGCAGCTTTCTTTGAAGCACGGCTTCAAAGATTGAAAGACGAACAAATGTCGGGAATAGCCCCGACAAAGCAGGCAACGCAATTTTGCCGTGCCGTGCAACCTGCGGAAATGCACAGGCCCAGATGTTCAAGACAAATGTTACTTTGGAACTTCACCCTATTTCCGAGACCCCCGGAACTGGTTTGCCTTTGTGCATGCGCCTTTTCTAGCTACCCGTCTTGGGGTTGTCTTAAAGGGAACCCCCCCCCCAAAAAAAAAAAAAAACAATAAAACAAATGAAGTAACAAAAAACAACTAGGGCGGGTTCCCAAAAAGAAGAGACACCCAAATGCACAAGGTGCCTGGTACACGGCTGTGGGACAAAGCATGCGCCCTGGTTCACCTCCGCGTTCTGTTTTCCAAGGGTTGGGATCCTCAACTAGCCCTCTATGAACAGCTTATAAGGAGGTGTCAGGGGTCCGTTGTACTTGGGCCCGAGCCCGAAACTCACCGGCAAACAGGAAAACAGTAAGCAAGATTCAAAGGAAGCCCTTTTCCAGGATTTCTACACTTCTGGGGGCCCTGCATATTTTTTGCCAGGTCAAGGCAAGCCCTGACACATGCTAGGCCGAGGTTCCCAAGTTCCGGGAGAAAAAATGATGCGCAAACACCCCAAAAGGGTGCTGACACCCTCCAAAAGCAACCCAAGGAAAACCTGCACAGGGGTCCATGACAAGGAGAAAAGGAACCGGCTGCAGTGCTCCAGTTCTTCTACATGTTTGTTTGGGGGGGGAACTTGCACTGGGTGCTCCAGTAGAGCTTGGAATGCGGGTACCAACTTTTTTCTTTTTTGTATATTGGTAGGGGAACCCGAAACCCAACCGAAAAAAGGGTGAGAAAGGGCACCTAGCTGGGGGACCTAGCTTGGGGTTTGGCCTAAGAAAGGAAAAAAGCATCAACCCACTGACTAGGTTTCCTTGGTGGCCGGTGGGCAGCCGGGGCAGCACGGCATGGTTTTGAACCGCTCGGTCGGTGCATCACACGTCTTCCTCGGCCGCCGCGACGCAACCGTCCTGGCCGGGATCTGGATACTTCCGTTTGCAATTTCGCCCCCTGGAAAAACACGAAAATATGTCCAGTAGTGATCGATTCCTTTTAAAACCATCAGGGGAAAAGAAACTTAAACAAATGGAAGGATATGATCGGATTTAGATGGCAGGTGGGCTCACAAGAGCATCTGGGATCCCAGGACAAAAATCGAGCACTCACTGGAAAGGGCTCACTTGAAGGGCAGCTAGTAAGTAGTTCGCAAGCCTTGTTGCTACTCACAAAAGCCATGCCATGCGTTCAGCGGGTTACAACCCGGCTTGCAAACCACTTCTGGAGTCCTAACCAAAACGAGCCCGACGCTTCGCAGAGAAGCCGTAGCGTCCAAAGAATCCCAAAGACCGGCCTCGGAGAAATGTCACCAACATGGAGCAAGGGAAATGCGGGAACCTGGCTTCACAGTGTTGAGCTCCACCTAACTCGCGCAATACGGTGCATGGGCGGCGAAATCCAATTGAAACCCAGGTTCACCCAATGATTGGATCAGTCAAGAGTAAATACAAACGAACGCCCCAAGGATCCTGCGCCAGCCAAGCAACCCTGGAAGGATTCGATCAAGGGGAAAAAAAAACAACAACAAACCTCTGGTTTCAACCATGGTTTCATTTCGGCGGTGCGAGAAGCAGCCAGACGCCCCTGGTTGAACCGGATGCCTGGGTAAGCAAGCCAGAAAACCCCCTCCACGTGAACCAGGGTTCCATGGTTTGTCTATGGAGTCAAAAAGTAGGGCTCCTGCCTTGAAAAGCTCCGACTCGAAAAGCAAAATTTGGATACCCCCAGCTCCGAATCCGGCTCCCCTCCAACCACTAGCTAGGAAACCCTCCACGGCGCTTCACCCCGCTTCCCGAATCTCACTTCCTGAGTGGATGGGCCAAGAAAAAGTTGCTATTGGAATGGTCCAAACCCAACAAAAAGTCCCTAGGAACTTTAGTTATGTACCACCAAAATGCAAAAAGTGACTGAAGTAGAGGAACTCCAAAAGTGATTGTCAGTCCCTAGGAACTTGTCATTTACCACCAAAATGGTCCAACCCCAAAAGGTGAGTATTGTCCTTTTTGCCGCCAACATGATCCAACCCCAAAAGAGTTACCGAGGAACTCAACCAGGTCCTCCAGTAGAGAGGTTAGAACTTGGGTACCGACTTTGTTCTTTCTTGTATATTTTAGTCCCCCCAAAAAGGTGACGGTACAAGTTGGCCCCTAGCTGGGGGACCTAGTATCCCAGACCTGCGGACATTTTTGTTCTTGCTTCTTTTGCCCCTTTTCGCTGGCGCTTGGTTTCAAGTCCCTGCAAAATCCAAAAAAAGAAGAAGAAGAAAAGGCCGAGGAGTCGAGCGAAATTGCCCCCCGGTGCCATGAGCCCACGGCTTTCCGGGCGCTGGGCGCTGGGCGCCTGCTGCTGCTCGATGCAGGTGGGCTCCGCGGTGGTCTCCAGGCAGGGCTGGCCGCGGCTGAGGTTCGCCTTGCGGGCGTTGAGGCCTTTGGGGGGAAGGGTGGGGGGGGAAGGGTGGGTGGGGAAGGGTGGGGGAAGGGTGGGGGGGGAAAGGGTGGGGGGGAAGGGTGGAAGGGGAAGGGTGGGGAAGGGTGGGGGGAAGGGTGGGGGTGGGGGGGGGAAGGGTGGGGGGTGGGGGTGGGGGAAGGGTGGGGGTGGGGAAGGGTGGGGGTGGGGGTGGGGGGAAGGGTGGAACGGAGGGGAAGGGTGGAAAGGTTGGGGGGGAAGGGGTGGGGGCGGAAGGGTGGGGGGGAAGGGTAAGGGGGGGAAGGGTGGGGGGGGAAGGGTTGGGGGGGGAAGGGTTGGGGGAGGAAGGGGGGAAAGGGTGGGGGGGAAGGGTGGGTGGGGGGGGGGGAAGGGTGGGGAGGGAAGGGTGGGGGGGGGTGGGGGGAAGGGTGGGGGGGAAGGATGGGGTGGAAGGGTGGGAGGGGAAAGGGTGGGGGAAGGGTAGGGGGGAAGGGTGGGGGAAGGGTGGGGGGGGAAGGGTGGGGTGGGAAGGGTGGGTGGGGTTGGGGGGGGGGGGTGGGGGGGAAGGAGGTAAGGGTGAAAGAGTGGGGGGAAGGGGGGGGAAGGTGGGGGGAAGGGTGGGTGGGTGGGGAAGGGTGGAGGAAGAGTGGGGGGGAAGGGGGGGAAGGGTGGGGGGGAAGGTGGGGGGTGGGGTGGGGGGGGAAGGGTGGGGGGGGAAGGGTGGAAGGGGGGGAAGGGTGGAAGGGGGGGAAGGGTGGGTGGGGAAGGGTGGGTGGGGAAGGGTGGGTGGAGAAGGGTGGGAAGGGCTGGCCGCGGCTGAGGTTCGCCTCGGCGGAGGCTGAGGTTGAGGCCTTTGGGGGTGGGGGGGGAAGGGTGGGGGGGGAAGGGTGGGGGGGGGAGGCGGAAGGTTGGGGGAAGGTTGGGCGGAAGGTTGGGCGGAAGGTTGGGGCGGGTCCTGCACTCGGGGATCCAATTCTCATTTCCGGTTTCGGAAGTATCGCAACAATTGCAGATTCAATGGCTGGCTGGGGAATATGCCACAGGGAGATTCCTTCGGAACGGTTTGTTTGCCGATGAAACCCTGCAGGTTTCAACATGCCCGGCTATAGCAGATTTCTTCTGGCCAATGTGCCAAGTTGTTCAGGGTCGCTCCGAATGTCCAAAGCATCAAACGTCCAATCACCCCACCCCCAAACCCCGCAACCACCCAACCTTCCGCCAACCCCAACCCCGAATCCCCCGCCAGAAAATTCAGTCTACTGGAATTTTGCCAAATACTCACCCAAAACCAAAGATTTCCTTTAGAAATTCCTGCAGTAGCTGGTTCCGAATCGAGAAATCACAAATTGAATTGTCCCCTCCGCGGTGTCGCCTCCGCCTTGGGTACATTGAGACTCTGCTGCATCTCCTTCTCCTTGCTGGACATCGACAGCTCGCGCTTGGTTGCCTTGCGAGCTTTCAGCCAGAACGAGTTGTAACTTTTGGGAACCTTAACGCATCAAGGTCTTCCGGTACAGAGGTTAGAATAAGGGTACCAACTTTTTCGTGTAGTCTCTGTTGGTGGGGGAGCCCTCCCCCAAAAAGGGGGAGAGAAAGGGCACCAATTGCTGGGGGACCTAGGCATAGTTGCCCAAGTTGTAAAACCGAAAGCTCAGCTCAGGCCGACTCAGAAGTGCCTAAGGAAACAAAGCTTCTAGGCCCCCTGGGCTTAGGCTTTCTTGCCGATGGAAGCTTTTTTTTTAGTTGACACCGGAAAGGGAAACCACAAGGAACGCCACCCATTTGAAAGGCTCCGAGCCCGATCTTGAGACAAACCCACTTCGCTTGAGTCTCCCGACCCCGCACTGTCTGCAGGCGGGGTTCTTTCTGCTCGTCTTGGGGGAGGACGGTGTAATTGAAGCTCCTGCAGCGTTTGCGGGAGCTTCGGCCAATGTTCGAACCGGTTGCTCCACAAACCAATTTGGGCGTGGTTCCTTTGAGGGGAGCCTTGTTGAGGTGCTTTACAGGGAAACTAAAAGGAAACCATGTTTTAGGAGGGGGAGGGGTCCCCTAAATTAAAAGAGACACCTCCATTTGGGCCCCCAAAAGAAACCGAAGGACAGGGTTTGCCAACCTGCTAACCTTGGGTGTTGATTATCTTTTAGGCAGGTCTCAGAGCAAAGGCTTTGCCCAACCTCGCGCCCCTAAGAAGCGTATTGCGTTGGCTTCCCTTTGTGCACCAAACGCGAGTGAAAAGGGAAACAAGGGCGGCAAGTTGTTGAAACAGCTTCCATGTGCCCAAGGTGTCACCAACAAAATGACATTGGCAGTCATGAGTTAGGACCATTTCCCTTTAAAATGCAAAAACATCCCAGAAAAACGGAGGGTCTGGTACACCAACCTCCACGCCTCTCTCTGTGCAGTACCCCATCCTGCCATCTCCGCTTGGCGGACAGGCTGGAAAGCACCTGCGGGGACGTGATCAGAGCGAGGACAGAGGACCCTGTCCGAAGCAGAACCTGGCCCTTGCCAGGTCAGCATTTGGTTGCGTGCGTGTGCGAGCGTCTTTTGGAGGGTGCCCGTTGGTTCAAAGGGAATCCAACAGAAAGGTTTTGGGTATCTTGCCCTTTCTGGGGCGGGGTTTAATCGGAAGCATACAGGAAAATTACATAATTTTAGGTGCACACCCCTATTTTGACGAGCCATACCCACTTGTTTCGCCCTGAAGAATCTGTCCATCAGCTTGCCTCTCGATCCCTCTCGCTTCCCAAGTCGGACCCTAAGGCTCTTCTGCACGTGATCTAGGCTTCCCAGGAAAGCCTCCCAGGCCTGGGAAGGGGTCGGGGGCAAGGCTCTCCTGGGTAAGAACCACCTTCAAACGAGGGCCGGAGCACCACCCCAAAACAAAAACAAGAAAACACGCAGGCCCCGCAGTCCCCTTCCGCTTCCGGCGCTCCCCGATCTTCCCCGGATCTTCCCCGGATCTTCCCCCGAGTCCCAAGGGCCAGAAGAGCGGGAAGTCGCCCAGGGACGCTTGGACGTTGCCGAAAAAGCCTGACTGCCCAGTCCCAAAGGGCAGACCAGTCACTGGATTTCCATCCAAGTCAAAAGCTGACCGACGTACCATTCGCCAAACTTTTGGAGGCGATGGAAAAGGGGCATGGCTCGGAAACTCCTGAAGAGTACCAAGACGGGACAGCATCTTTGCCAAAAATCAACCCCGAGCCAAGGATTTGTGCCTTGTCTGCCACCACTGTAGGCCAAAGATATGAGAGGTTGCTAGTAACGAGTACATAATCAAACACTAAGTATCATATCAGTTCCATGGTTGGGGCTAACATGGGGGAGGGATGCACCACAACTCCGCGGATGAGGAAAAGCCTCCAAAATGGAGGATAAAAACCCCAGGAACATGGAGCAAAAAGGAACTCCGTGAACCGTTGGAAGGGTGGCACTCCAGGGCAAACCCCAGCTTTGCTAGCCCATGTCGCCTTGGTGGCTTGTTTGGAAGCCTACCGCTTGCCCATTTGCTCCCTCATGAACCCGAAGATGGCCATAAGAGCTCCACATCTGCTCGCACCCAGCATTCAGAACCCCCCCCTTCCCCTGCAATGTCGCATCCCTTCTGGGAAATCCAGGGACGCGGGCGGCAGGTCCGACACGGAGAGGGCCCGACCCCGGATGAATCAACCACTTGAGGCGGCCCCTTCACAAACCTTCCCCTGACAGAAGCAAACCGTCCATCCTCTGCAAGTGGCTGATGGACATGGCCACAAGAAGCCCCTACAGTGCACAAGAACAGCCAAGGCAAAACCCTTCTTTGCCCAAAGATAGTCTGCCTCAGCTTCGCCCCCCAAACAAGCAAATCATCTATTTCATTCTGGCCCTGCGGATCCCCCTTCAAAGCTCCGCAAATACATACATGTCTAAATAATAATACACCGCGGCGCCCTGGTCAAAGGTCAGCTTCTTGTCGCTCTTCTCATGCCTCGAACGTTGGCGTGGTCGCGCTAACTGGGCTGTCCGTTTTCAGTAAAGGTCGAAAACTTTTAGTCGAGTGGAAACCACCAGTAAGCCGACTAAGCATCTAAAAACCTAAGGGGACGCCTGGGAACCACGTAGGTTCAGGGAAGCCAACCGTGGTGCCAAGGCATCCGAGGTCCGTCAGGGGGTTCCCAAGTCAGTTTCAAGGGAAACCTCAAGGAACAAGCGCAGTGTTGATCCAGATTCCTGCCGTTTCAAGGAAACGCACAAAGGCCAACCGTTTCCTGGTACGTGCGTGTCCCGATTGGGGTTCTGAAGAATTCTAGCCAGAAAATTGATTCCGCCCATGCCGGTCCTGAGTCCGCAATGGCAATGGCGTCTCTCCTCAATATTTCGGTTGGCAGGGCTCCCCTTTGCATGCCTCTGGCAGGTGGAATGGCCGTGCTCCCAAAGCCAAACGGGCCGTCCAATCATTTGGGGTCAATCACGCGCACTCCGGCAACGCAGGGAGTTGCAGGAATAGCCTTGTCTGGTTGATCGTTTCCTCCATTCTCTTAAGTCCCTGTTGAAAAATTATAATAAAAAAATGTCCAGTAGTGATAGGTTTTCTTCAAAACCAACCCGTAAAGTAACACATACACTCAAACACATGGAAGGCCCTTTTTTGCCGCCTCTGGCCGCATCACTCGCTCGCGCCCTCATGAGGCCAGCTTCAGCCCCCGGCGGCCGCGGTAGCGCAGGGAGCCTTTCCGTCGGAAGCGTTGCGCCAGCTGCACTTCGTCCGGCGAGTCCATGAGCAGAACAGAGTTGGCCTCCTCCAGCACGGGGTCCTGCAACCAAGTGGGACCTAGAAATAGGTCCTCCAGATTTGAGAGGTTAGAAGGAGGGGTTTTGGTAGGGGAACCCTAAACCCCCAAAAAAGGGGAGAGAAGGGCACTACTGGGGGGCCTACGTAGAAATAGAAGGCGATCACTTACATCACCTTTTGGGTTTGCCAACATGAGAATACAAAACTGGAACCCAAAATGGACAAAAAGACTACAAATGGAAACCGAAAATTGGAAGACCAAAAGGCTACAAGGCAACTGAGGATCTTGGCCACGCACCACCACCTGCGAGTAGTTGGTGCTGGGCACTCCGACCCATGTGAAGGCGGTGAATTTGTTATACAGCGGAAACTTATGCACCTCAGCGGTGCGTTTCCTCTTGAAGACGTTGGAAGGGGAGCAAAATTTTAAATATTAGTAGTTAAGTGGGGGTTTCCCACTAAACCACAACAAGCAAAAATTGCCAAATGTTTCCCAGCGACAACCATGTCATCATCCCCCATTCTTCAGGGCTGGGGGATCTGGAAAAAGCATGCACTCTTGAGGTCCCCCCGCTCAGATTCGTGCCCTGGAAAAGGGCAGCGTTAAGGTCCACACACGATGCATTTTTCTGGAATGGGGGGATGCTTCATCAGATCCCCCGCTAAGTGACTTTTCAGCTCGTGGGGTGAAGTTCGGGTTTAAACCCGACCACCTAACCAACTAAAAATATGCAAAAACCTCAGGCCACCCTGCTAAAAAAGTGACCAACTTTTGCGGGGTGAAATTCGGAAACCCAACCACCAAACCAACCACAAACTCATAAGAAAACCAGTGGGTTCAAGGGGACGCTCCCACTCACCCACAAAACCTCCCCTAAATTTGGTTGCTGCTGATCCCTCAGCAAAAAGTTAAACTTGTGGGTTTAGTGGAAAACCCAACTTGATTTCAACCAAAAAGTGAAAAAGTCTAAAGACCCGTTGCCCAATAGCAGTCAAGTACAAGACCACTAAACCAACCACTAAACCATAAGAAAACCAGTGGGTTCAAGGGACACTCCCACTCACCCAACTCAACAAATCCCCTAAAACTTCCATTTGCTTAGGCCCCCTGGAAACATATATTTCCAGTAGTGCTCGATGCCTTCTAAAGCCAACAGGGGAAAATCAAAAATATTCTTAAACACATGGAAGAAAAGCCCAAGAAACCTTGATTTCCCATAAGAAAACCAGTGGGTTGCTAAAGACACTCCCACTCACCCAACTCAAAACCTCCCCTCAAACGCCTAAGGAACCGGGATGGCGCCATCCCGGTCGCCTCGAGCCAAGGCGCCACGTCCCAGGCGAAGTTCACCGAGACCTCCTCCGGGCTGCGCTGGCTCAGGCGCTCCATGACCTGCGGGCGCCGGATGTCCAGGGCCTTTTTGTTGGCGTCGTCGTTGGTCTGGAGGAGAAACCTCCGCAGAGCTGCGCGGATCTTCGATCCGGCTGAAAGTGACTCACTTTTAGTGGGTTATATGGCAACCCAACCACTAAACCAACTAAAAACAAGCAAAAACCTGAGGCCCCCCCTGCTAGAAGTGAAGCACTTTTCGTGGGCGACATACGGAAACCCAACCACGAAGCCAACTAAAAACCACCAAAAACCTAAGGCCCTGCTAAAAGTCACGAACTTGTGGGTGACATACGGGCACCCAACCACTAAACCAAGTAAAATCAGTACAAAGCCAAAGGGGACGGCTGGGAACCACCAAGAAACCAGTTACCTTCGCGAGACAAACTCCGCACCGGCGGGGTGTCTGCGTCGATTTGTGCACCGTTCCGGTCCATGCTGATGATGGCGCCTCGGTTGCTTTCTGCTCCCCCGCTAAAGTTTAACTTAGTCTAATGGAACACCTCCCCTGCCTGCTAACGAAAGTTTCTGCTCCCCTGCTTTCTGCTCCCCCTGGTTTTCCCCTTTTGGTAGTTTGCCGGAAAGCAGTGGTTGACTTTTTGTAGCTTTACTTTTTGTAGTTCATTAGTTGGCACCAAAAAAAAAAAAAAAAAACAGAGACATGCCCCAACATCCCGGCGAAATGGTCACCAAAGGCGCCTTCATGGTCCCCCGCGCCGGCCATAATGAAGTACTGCGGCGCCATGAACTTCGTGCCGTTGAACCTGGGCTGCCCGTTTTCTGATCCCCCGCTAAAAGTGACTAACTTTTAGTGACCTCCGTGCTGCCCGGTGAGCTTGCCGGCCATCAGGCGAACAAGAAGCCGGCTTGGCCTCTGAATTGAGTGCAGCTTGGGCGTTGGGTTAAATACGGAAACTACCACTCAACCACTCTTTTAGTGGGTTCCATGGAAACTACCACTAAACACTAAAAAGATCTAAGAAGTTTAACCACTAAACACTAAGAGGATCTAAAAAGCCAAGTGATCGGATGGCTGGGGGCCACCAAGGAACAAGCGCAGCGCCGTGCGAAAGTCTGGGATGGTCTCCAGCGCCTTGCGAGCCACCCAGCCGAACTTCCGGCCGCCGTTCTGGGCCGACTGCAGGTTGAGGTGGTGCTCGTTCTTCAGGAGCCGCGTGTTCTGCTCGAAGGTCCAGCCGTCATAGCCTGTTGCGTGGTTGGTTTTCCATGGGGGGGAAAAGGATCGGCCGCCGATTTGTTGGTTTAGGTTGAGTTTAAAGTGGAACCCAAAAACAAAACAGCACAAAAATATTTGGAAAAAAGGGCGGGGCACAAAAACAAAAAAAAGGGCGGCACAACAGCAACCGAGTGGCGCATGGCTGTGTGGGCGCCCATCCAAAGTGGCCAGTTGATGGTGGTAAAGATCCTCTGGCCGCCCTTCCAATAGATGCCCTCGTAGGTGACGTCGGGCCAGTCCTTCTTCGATCCATCCGGCATGGTGAAGAAGAACTGGTAGTCCATGTTCCGGCCATGAACCACCTTGCCAGTGGCGTCCGCGGCAAGGAAGCCGGAGCACATCGTGGGGGACTCCAGCTCGTAGAGCATGTTGAAGAGTACGAACCTTGGTCGCTGCAACGACCCCGGATTAATCAAGATCTATGAATAGGGAAGCCCGGGGCCCTAGATTCAAGAAGCAGCGACGCTCATCAAAACGCCATTGAACTTGCAGGCTGAAACGACCTCTTTGCAGAAAGTGTTTATCTTTTTGGGTCCACCAAGTAGCCAGGAGAAAAAAGGGCATCCTTTCCTGCTTGGTTGACTTTGAAGGGAACCCAAAACCCCAACGAAAGTTGAAACAGGGGAGCAACCCACAGGGCAACTGGGAACAACCCCTGAATATTAATACGGGGGTGTCCCGGGTGTTAGTCGGAATTCATCACTTTTGGAGGAGAACACCCCCATATTAATAAACTGGGGTTCATGTCACCCCTCTGCAAAAGTGTTAAGTTGTTGTGGGTCCAAAACGGAAAATCTGACCTGTTTCGAAAACAACCAAATAGATCCGTTACCAAATAGCCATCAAGAAACACGCAGATGACCAGTGAAAAAAGGGCATTCTGTTCTAGTTGGTTGACCAAAAAGTCGAGTCCACCATTTCGGGCCCCTGTTTAAACTGGTTCATGTCACCCCTCTGCAAAATCTAAAACGGAACATCTCACCTGTTTCAAACAAGCATATTTATAGATCCTGGACCAAATAGCAATCAAGCAACAGGTTCATGTCGTTGGTCATGTTCACCGCCTGCGCAACCCCACGGAGCTCTCCTAGAAACTCCTCGCCGTGGGCTGCCCCCACCTGGAGCCACTGCGCCTGCTCCTCGTTGGTGAACTTGTTATTCAAGGTCCCTCGGAACCTTGGCTGCCGGCGAGGCCCCTCTGCAAAAAGAGATTCACTTGATCACGTCCACTAAGAGTTCAAGCAACCAAAAGTTCGCTACCAAACAGCTGTAAAGAAACTGCATTAACAAGTTCATGTTTCCCTTGTTGCTCCAAATCGGAACATCGATCATGTCCACTGAAAAAGTGCAAGTAACCCAAGACCCGTTACCAAACAGAAAAAAGAAAGAAAAAAAAGAAAAACACTGGGTCCAATACAGAAAATCCCACCTGTTCTGCCAACAAGTTTTAAATAGCCAAAGCCAGGTACCAAACAGTAAAGAAACTGCTGGACCATCGCAAGGATCTCCTCGGCATAATGCTCCGAGACCTCCTTGTACCGCAGCTCCGGCGGAAGGTCCAGGTTGATATCGAAGCGCGGCACTGCAGCAACCGCCACAGGGACCGCGAGCGCCCAAAATGCCGGCGACATATGAAGGAGTTGGTTCGGTACCAGGTCTAAGTCAGACTGCTTGAGCCAGGCTGCACAGGGGCCAGGAGGATATCCCGGAAAGTCTTCACAACCCAAACGGTCTGGGCGAAGAAAAGAAGAAAAAACCGAGCCCTTTTTTTTTTTTCCTCTCCAGCCCCCCGAGCCTAGAAAATGAACAGAACCCCCCGCAAACAAAAGACTTGACCCAGGAACAGTGGGGAGAGCCCTGAAATCTTCGGCTTGCCAGCCTCAGGGAGGTCAGGCAAGCCTTTTTTGGGACCGCTTTGTTGCGCTGCTCCAGTCATCGAACAACATGAACCATCGAAAAGAGGAAGACATTTGTAAAGCATCTCCCCCATGAACCACTGTCATAATCATCCCGAAACCGGCAAAAGGAATCCACACGAAACGGGATGGTCTCAAAATGGGCGGGCCGTGGCTTTCCTGATCGCTTTCCCTTTGAGTTCAACTCAGCATGGCTACCCTCCCAAAAAAAAAACATATATATACATATATATATATATACATACACACACACATATATATATATATGTATAAAATCCAAGCACCGCCTTCTTCCTTCCATTCGACGGTCCATCCCATTCCTGCCGGCGCCTCGTGAGGAACTCGATGGTGGTCATGCCCTTTGCCACCTGAAAAAGGGAATGGGGACCCAGTCACAGCGAACCCTCCCTAACCCCAAACCACCCGGACCTGTTTTGGCCTCTTTGGCCTCTTTGGGCCCCAAGACTCTTTCGCTGTTGGGGGAGGGGGCGGGGTGGGTGGTGTGGGGTGGGGTGTGGGGTGTGGAGTGTGGGTGTGGGGGTGTGGGGTGTGGGGTGTGGGGTGTGGGGTGTGGGGTGTGGGGTGTGGGGTGGGGTGTGTGTGGGTGTAGTGGGGTGTGTGGGGTGTGTGGGGTGTGTGGGGTGTGTGGGGTGTGTGGGGTGTGTGGGGTGTGTGGGGTGTGTGGGGTGTGTGGGGTGTGTGGTGTGTGTGTGTGGGGTGTGTGGGGTGTGTGGGGTGTGTGGGGTGTGTGGGGTGTGTGGGGTGTGTGGGGTGTGTGGGGTGTGTGGGGTGTGTGGGGTGTGTGGGGTGTGTGGGGTGTGTGGGGTGTGGGGGGTGTGTGGGGTGTGTGTGTGCGGGGTGTGTGGTGGGGTGAGTGGGAAGCCCTTCGCCCCCTCCCCACCAACATGGCACCTGGGTATGCCTCAGAATTTGAGAGCTGGAGTTACGCAGGTGTTGGTATTTGCTTCCATTTGCCAGGCTGCTACTTTGGGTACAGACAAGGACCCCTCCAAGAGGAAACTGATCTTCCAGTACCCTGCCACGAATGCCATGGCAAGGTGGGAGGAAGGGCAACTAGCTTTTGAATTAAAAAAGTCTTCACATGCGACTGTGGGTGACCAATCGTTACTGTACTGCACAACAAGGAAAAAACTCACTTGCCCCTAAGGGACCTGGAAATGCTAGGGGGACCATTTGTGGCCATTACTAAAAATGGGAGCCCAACAGGGGAAACCAACAGATTATATAGTCGGCTTTGGGCAAGTGAGACCTGGGTGTGTCTTTCTGGAGGGTAAATTTCGGTTTGGAGAAGCGAGAATCAGAGAATGAGACCAAGTCTCCAGGTTTGAATTGCAGCTCGACTCCAAGCCTCCCGGAAAAAAAATGGGCGGACGTAAGTCGAAAGGGAAATCAGGCCACTCCTTCCAGGGCAACCAACCGGAGCTTGTTTTTCAACGCTTGGCCGGGTGAGGTGGGTGAAGTCTTGTGGAGAGGAGGGAGGGGAAAAAAAAGTCGCGCCAAGCGAGGCGCCAGCAACAGGTGGAAGGAGGCGAAGGCTATCATGGTGACGCCCAGCGCCAGAACCAGCGCCTCGCCTCGGGCGAGAAGCACTCGACTTTCGCAGGGCGCGAATGCCGTTGCCTGGATCGCCAATTGCTGAGACCAAAAAACATGTTGAGACCAAATTCAGCCATTGGAGGAAACCGGCAACTCCCCCCCTTATGTTACCCTCAAGGCAAAACAGCCCCTGAAGGCCCCATGCAAAGCACCGGGGACAAGGTAGGGAGAAGGGCGTGTATGGCCCCATGCGCTTGAAAGGGCCAAGGGCCATAAACGCCCCATTGTGTTATTACCATGAAAAAGGTCACCCCTAATAAATGACCACCCCTAGAAACAGAGACGAGGAGCAAGAAGAAAGAACCTAACCAGATGACCAACTGCAGCGGCACAAATACTCGCGCGAAACCCAGGGTCTTGCAAAATTGAAGACTTACCCATCCCCCTTTGGGTGCCGCTAGGGTGCAAGAATCTATTAAAACAATGGCCTTGGCACCGGATGAATTCCCGAACGGTAAACAGTGGCGATCATATGATTCCCCTTTGATTTGGTGGCAAACCGCAACTTCAGGGGTTCCTTTGGGGGAACCATTCCACGCACAGTTGGCGAGGTCCTCCAGTAGAGAGGATAGAATAAGGCTACCAACTTTCTTTTTGGTCTATTTTAGTAGGGGAACCCAAACCCCCCAAAAAAAGGCGGGGAGAGAAGGGCACTACTGGAGGACCTAGTTGGTGAACGCCTCCCAGCGGGCGATGGGCAAAAGTTCGTGGGAGCCCTTGGGTGCTGAGCCTCGGAGCCTCGGCCGGTCGCATGCGGCCGAAGTCACAGGAGACCAGCCAGAGGCGGGTGCAGAAGGTGATCTCCGTCTGAAAGGCCTGCCGCTGGGTCTCTCGGGCCAGATGTCAGGGATGTTGTCTGTTTTGTTGGTAAGGCTCGCTTGCCCACGAGACATCATAGGCGATCACCTTTGGGGGCCACCAAAACCCGTTTCGCAAGGCAGATGTCAGGTACCACGGTGAAAGTAGATGGCGCCTGTTGTCTCCTTTGTTGGGAAGGCTCGCTTGCCCTCGAGACATCAGTGACCACCTTTTGGGGCCACTAAGAATGGGAATCCAACATGAAAAACCCGGATTCGGTCATTTCCGCTTTTGGCCATGGAAAGGAGGCTTACGGTGAATGCAAGAAATTCCGTGGTTGAGTTTATTGTTCCCTTGCACTACGCAGGGCATCCAACGTACAACCAGGTCATAGCCACGGTTACTCCCCACTTAAGTACCCTAAGACACCAACACAGCGCAAACCGATGCCATCTGGCAGGTATAAGGATGGGCGATTAGAGGCTCAATGGAAGATCCCACAGCCCTTTTAACCATGGAAACAAGTTTGCCATTGCCCTCCTCCGTGTGCAGAGTCTGGATATGAGTTCCGGCTACTCGGCAAAGAAAACTCGGCTACATGCGCAGATCCCTCCAAGGACATGACTCCAAGCCGTGCTCTTGGCATCAGGAATCCCTACAGCAGGCGCGGTAAAGGCCCAGCGGGGCAAGTTTCCGCTAGCGGGTCTCAGAACGGACCCTTTCCAGCCAGGAAGAGGAGGGAAGAGCACTCCTATCGGCCGGTTTTTCGGCCCAAACTACCCAGGTCGTGTTGCGGCGCACTTGGGCATTGATGTTTTCGGCCCCTTCAAAGAGGCTTCAGGCTATGGCAACCATAAAATCTGAGGGATGCCTGGTAAAGCAACGCTCGTTGGCGTTGACTCCCCCAAACCCCAAAAGGGAACTCACTTTGCATGGCAGCCCAGAAAGGCGTTCTTTGAATCAAGTGCAGGCCCTGTTTGGCTGGGTCCAAGAGGCGCGCATTTCCTGCGTTTGGTCTCACCCTGAAAGGAGAAATCGGCCCCTGGTCAGACAGAACCAAAGCCAAAACAAATGTCCATCCTTGAGGTTTGCCCAGCTATCGGGCACGGCGCGCGCAAACCCTGCGCACTCTTAGGAGGAAACCATACGTTTATCCTTGGCTGGAATTAGGACCCAGCAAAAAGTATTTTTTGCCTGGTTAGTGGAAAACAAAGGGAACCCCAAAAAACCAAAAAAAATGAAAAAGGGGAACTAATTCTGGGGAAGTATCCAATAAGTTGGACTAGAAAGGACAACCCAGTGCCCAAACGAGTTGTCAAAGAAGACTCCCCCAAACACAAGTGCGTTCCATCCTCCTCCTGGCTCCCATTTCCTCAACCCAGAAGGATTTGGGTCTGTCTTTTTTTTTGAGGGTACCCTTTTGTAGGTTTTAAGGGAAAAGCCACATTTTTTGGACCTCCCCCCCCCCGAAAAAAATCGACCAGCCGCCCGTTTTTTGCCGCATCCTCCAGGGCGGGGCCCCTGCCTTGAGGATGAAGATCATCATGGTGACGGCCTTGAAGCCCAGAGCCACCGCCGAGTAGAAGATGAACATCACAAAGTACTTGTAGTTCCCGTAGCCTTCGAAGATAAGAACCCGCGGGCAAAAAGAACTGGTGGCTCAAACCAGAAGCCACAAAGACACTGGCGAAAGAGCTGGCAAAAGAACGGGCGGCCAGTACCCCCTACTCCAAATACCCGCCTTTTTCAAGGGTGGCGATTTAGCCAGGAGTGGAATATGAGGAAGAGATAGAAGAGATGCTGAGCAACTTAACAAGTCTGTTATTTCCAGGTTATGCATTAGAAGATGGTGCCCTTTCTACCTCTTGGTCATTTAAAGAATACTTGGTAGTCGTCATAGTATCGGCTTACTTTCTACATATCATATCCTTCCCTTACTTTGCTTTACTACTATCATGTTGAAAATTAAAGTTGCAGTAGCAGCGAAATCTTATATATATATATATATATATATATACTGTACTCATCCCCTTGTCTTCTGATCATAAACCATGTTACTTTAGTTCAGCAAGACTTAGTAGTTTACTTTTAATATGGGAAACATATATGGGCTGAGTTTACGTTATTTTCTTTCCCATGGTGTATGAGGCATCGTTCTTTATATTTGTACATCTTGGAAGAGCTGTACCTTATAATTCGTATGTTTACAATGCAAACAATGGATTTTCTGGAAGATGTTTTTGCTTCTTCTTTACCAAATGGACAGCTGAGCCTAGCATGGGGAGCATTCCACCGCAGACAGATCATGATTCTCAGTTTTCCGCCTCATGTCGGCGCGCTTTGGAAAGGCGCAGGCTGTCCTGTTGTACCATCTCGGCTACCATGTCCTTACAGAACTCCTGGTAGCTCCGCAAGGCTCCCTCTTTAAAAGCAAAGTTAGAACCCCCCAGCTCCGAGTCCGGCTCCCTTCCGGTCAACTTCACAAGCCTTGGTATGGAGTCACAACAAACTGGCTATTTGTTTGCGGCCCCCTGCCTAACATGAACAGAACCCCAAAAAGAACAACTTGAAAAAAAAGAACCAGAAAAACAACAAGAATATCTATAGATATATATTAACTTAATCCAAGAACCGTGAGTGAAGTTCTCAAACCCAGGTGGTGCACCTTCCGCAACCCTTCCGCCTTCCTCCCGCTCCTCCCGCTCCTTCGCTCCTTCCCTCCGTGCTCCGAGGCGCCGATGCATTGCCGGAGCCAGGGGCAGTGGTGGTCCATGCGCAGCACGCAGGCCCCGCACTTGGTGCAGTGCCGGCAGCGCTGGGGCTTCCTCAGCGATGACTCAGAGCGGGGCCATGGCCGAGGGAAGCCTTGAGGAGGTTCAGGAGGTGGGGGCGCCTCTGCCGGGGGTGCCTCTGCCGTGGCCTTAAACCCAAGAAGGTCGCAGTGACTTGCAGGAGTTGGACCCGGTGTCCAACCACAACTAGCTCCTCCAGAGTAGAGAGAGGTTAGAAGGGCAGCCCAAAACCCCTAAGTCATGCCCAAACCATCACTAGGTGGTCCAGTAGAGAGGTTAGGATAAGGGTACCAACTTTTCTCTTTGTTGTCTATTTTAGTGGGGGAACCCAAAACCCCCCCAAAAAGTTAAAAGTTTGTAAAAGAGCACTGCTGGGGGACCTAGACAACCCGAATAACTCGCTTGCCCAGTTTGGACCCAGACGTAAGAAGGTGATGAGCTTTTGGCACGTCTACCAAAAAATGGACCAAATCTAGGAAACCAAAAGGTTCAAAGGTCGGTTTTGAGCAAGGGGGAAAAAGGTAAGTTCTTGGTGACCTCCATTTGCGTTATACGTCTTTTTGGAAAATTGTTCATATACTCCAGTAGTGCTAGATCTCCTTTGAGCCCCACAAGGAAAATAACAAATGTGCTTAGGCAAATGGAAGGTAAGTGGGAAATATACATGTGGTTGGCCAGTGGAACAGCACACATCCCAACAAATTAAAGGATCAAAATCTAACCCAGTAGTTGCCAAGACGAAGTAAGGGGACCCTCTAACAAACTTGCTCTGACTGTCACTCGTAGCGTCCGAAAGGAACCCATTTGTTGGAACCCAGTACCCAACTAAGTTCACAGGATTCACACCCGCCCCTGTTTCCCGCCTTAGGGACCCGGGACCCCTCCTCCTCAGAAATCAATCCCACCCCCTCCCCACGATCCCGGGGGAAGCTCCAGGCGGCGGCTCGGTTTCTGGTTTTTGCCAAGGCGCTGGGCCTGGCAGTAGAGGCACATCCCGCCGCCCCGGTGCTGCAGGGAGTCCTCGACCGGGCCGGATCGGTCGGCGTGCGGCTTGTCAGCGGAACGACCAGGTGGAGGAGGGGGGGGGGGGGAAGTCATGTCCAGGTGGATATGCTTATGTGTGTGTGAAAATATATATATATATATATATATATATGTATGTGTGTAATTTCTATATGAAAAGAAACCATTACAATATATATATATATATATGTGTGTATATATACATATGTGTATAACACACTTCTAGCCGTACCTTTACCATGTGCTTCAAGGATCCTTCTCTTTAAGCGGGCCAAGGCCTCGGAACACGTGTTGGTGGGTGTCTGAAAGATGGGCGGATGGGTGAGAGTGGGGAATCAACCCCTGAGACGGATTGGTGAGTTGGCTTCGTGGATTTTTTCAAGGGGGTACCACCCCCATTCGACTTCTAAAGGAGCTGGGGTTCACACCAGCAAGTGCATGAGTAGCGGCTTCTTCCAGGGCGGGGCCCCCAGGAGGTCCTTTTCCTTTTCCCCTGTACCGCATACCTTGCATGGAGTCTGCTATATGTGTATGTGTGATCTATATATATGTATATATATGTGTGCCCATCGACACTCGACCATGAACCTTCATTTGTATTATCCTTGCCAGGAACTGTATTTGCGACAAACCCTACTCTATCGAATACATCTTACACATCGTTTTTCCCGGCTGACTTAATAGGACAGCTTGTCAAGCTGTTTTTGGATGAATCCTCTATGGAGCCCTGTATATTTATTTGGGGTGTGCCTTTTATTTCTCCCCCCCCCCCCACCCTATCTTGGTGGTTTTCCTTTTCGGCCTCCCTGTTAAACCACCCCCTTTTTCACCTGGAACCCGACGTACCCGACCTTCGGGACCCGGCCCCTTAGGGATTCCCCCGGCTTCCTTCCGTTCAAAAACCTGCGGACCGCGCCTGGAAGTCCTTCGGCTGCCCGGGCCTCGGGGCATGCATCTGCGCAATGTTCAAATGAGACAAACATCCAGACAATCAGCGTCCATTCTCGTGTTTTTTTTTGTTTTTTCCCTTTCTTTGTCTTTTTTAATGAGAGGTGATAGATTCTTTAAACCCAACAAGGGAGGTGACAGATTCTTTGAAACCAACCAGGGAGGTGATAGATTCCCATCAAAAACCAATCCAGTAGAGATAAGCTCCCATCAAAAAATCCAACAAGGGAGGTGATAGATTCCTTTTTTATTTCCAAAAGGGGGAAATAACACATATTCTTGAGCAAATGTAGGATAGCTCCCTTCTGTCCATTGGACAAGCCAGCTGCGTCCATTCTGGATCGAGGCCTTTTTGGGTTCAAAGACCTGCTGCCATGTTTTTGAGGGCAACATAGAGGCCTCAGTAAAGAGAATGCGTTTGCCGGGTAACTTTGAAACAAATAAACGTAGTCATGACCGTGATTTTTGCTAATGTGTGCAGTGCAATCTGTTGAGCCCCTTACTTTCTCCTTTTGCTGTTGGTGTAAAGGAAGGCAAAAGGGAAATGACAACCCCCTGTTTTGACACTTGCCCAGATTGACCATGCCACTATCTCATGCGAATATGGTATGAAAAGGGTATGTACTGCTGCCAAATGCCGGCAACACCTAGGAGATGTCAGGCATTCAGCTTGCCATAGACAGGGCTTCCCGCGTTTGCCCCGTAAACATCACCACTCCAAGATGCAACTCAGCCACAAGCTATGCTCCTTTGCAGCTCCCTTGAGAAATGAGACGGATGAACAAGCTTGTTGAATGTGAACCAGAGACGATGCGCACAAACAGCACTCGCCTATGATGTTTAGAACCTCCAAACCAAACAGGGACACATGGTGTGTCACAAAAACGTGGAACCTCCAAAACGTGGTGCTCTGTGTTTTCCCTTTGGTTTCCCTGTATTTTCCTACAAACCACCAACCCCGGAGGGAAAAAAAAAAGGCGCCCAAGAAAAGGGGAGCCACACAGCCACCAAAAAAACACGGGAAGCTCGCTTCCCTCGCTCGGCGGCCTTTTGGCCGCCGCTTCCCCCGGCCTGGTGATCAGCACCCGGGCGAAGGAGGCCAGCCACAAAGCCACCGCCGCCACGTAGACCCCCAGGCCATACCTCGCGCCAGCGCAGTTCCCAGACGCTCACGATTCGAGGTCCAGATTTGAGAAGTTGGAATAAGGTGGTACCAACTGCTTTCTTTCTAGTCTATTTTAGTAGGGGGGAACCCAAAACCCGGTGAGAAAGAGCGCCTAGCTGGGGGACCTAGGATTGATTTTGGGCCCAACTGCCAGGTTTTGAGACCCCCAAAACCCCCGATTTTTGGGGGTCCAAAGGAGGGTCTGGGTCTTCCATTCAAAAGCCAGGAGCGTCTGGGTAGGGAATGACCCAGTCGCGGAGCTTCCGGGTGAAGCGGAATGAAACGGTGTTGGTTTGGGTTTCTTTTAAAGCAAACCAGAGGTTGGATGGCCCATTCCTTGCCAAAAATATCGTTAGGGAATGACTTAGCGAGTCCGGGTGTTGAATCGGAATGAACCATTTGGGGACTCCCTTGAAGGACACCAGATCTGGAAAATCTCCAAATAGAGGAAACCAAATCGGGGATGGTTTTTCTTGGGGTCCTTCCATGTCTCATTCCCTGCTGAGAATCAGCAAGACATGCCCGTCAGGATCGAGTTTTGGGGATCGGGTCCCGAGTTTCGGACAAACTTCCCGAATTTTGCCCGTTTGATCGTGGCCGCAAGAGGAAGGGCTTTCGGGGCTCATGTCCTTTAACTTCCTGTTCAACCACCTTCGTTTGCAAGCGCCCTGAGGATTTTTGGGCACTCAACAGACACAGACGTCCTTCGCACATTCAAATCCTTTTTGGAAACTACAGGGCACCCTGAAATTCATCACGTCACCCCCAGAGAAAACTCCCTTCAAATGAGCACAACACCTGTTGTTGGAACCCACTTTTAAATGGACACAAGCGCTCTTGGAAAACCCGCCCCACAGATTTTCCCGAGATCATCATGTTTCCTACCCCCCCCCCCCCCATGCCCTGTCTCTTTTTCTGCACGGAGGCCTTCCCCTCCCCACCGCTCCCCGCGCGAGAGGCAGCGCCCGAGGGCCGAGGCGTCCGAGGCGCGGGGATGGGAGGTCCTGCGCCACGGAGGCCTCCACGGAGCCGATGACGTGGGTGAGGTTGTAGACCACCACGATCCACCTGGGGGTTCTTTGGGAGAAGAAACAGGCTCGAATTCCGGCAAAGCAAGCCAAACCAAACCATGCAATAGCCATACAATGGGAACCTCGCCTGGGGGTCAGTTTTTGTGTTGGACCCGTCGAATCCCCGTTTTTTGGCACCCTGCATGGTTGGTTTGGTGGCTTGGCGGTTTCGTTCTTGCTTTTTTGAGGCCACCCTTGGGCCGCCTGTTTTCTTCTTTTTGAAAAGAAGCATGGTTGAAAAGAATGGTTCGAGAATGGTCGACCCAGCGCACTTAAAAATGCGAAATTATGTCCAGTAGTAAAAGCGATCCTTTGGAACCAACAAGGGAAAATGCAAAAGATATCTTCCTTTCATCAAATGAGCGAAGCCTGAAACTGAATTGAGGGACCCCCAGATCACCACAGTGCGCTCGCCATGGGCAGATTTATCATGGGCTCGGGGGCGTGATCCATCCCCTGCTTCAGCTTCCCTCATGGTTTGGTGGTTTAGATATGTTTAGAGCCGAATCGGTGGTTTGGAGGTCTTCCGGAGGGTGGTAAGCCCCAGTTACCGTCTACAAGAACCAGGGGCTCAAATCAAACTCTAAACCACAAATCCAAACCACCAATCAGTGGAAACCAGACTGTGGGGCCCTTACATTGGACAAAAGAGAGTCAGGCTTCCCGTCACTTTAGCTTATTGGCTTTCTTCCGGAGGAATCCAGCAGCCAGTAGGATCATGGACCCAAAGGTATGGAAAAGCTGACAAGGGCAATAGTTTGAGAACCGCCCACGTCTTCACTTTCGGTTGTGCGACCTGGCCTACAAAGGTTCACACACCACCATGAAGCCAGGAAGGACCATCTCGCCGATGGGGGTGCTGGACGCAATCTTCCCTTGTTTCATCCGTTGAGCCGGGAACAATCCTGGCTGAGCCATGCTATGTTGTTTCCCGAGGGCTGTACAACGATTCTTGTATCTGGGTGTGTCTGTTTTCAAGATGACAACCCCCCCCCAGCCAACAAAAAAGCCTTCCTTGTAGCTTTCCTTGTACTGCCTAAAAAAAAAAACACCCTACCCGGTTTGGGCAGTTTGGGATCCTCGGATACTTCCCGGCCCTGCCTCTTTTAAGGGACCAACGCGCCTCACCGCCCTCCTCACGCCACCCCAACGCGCCACCGCCTCACCGACTCGCCGCCCTCCTCACGCCTCGCCTCGCTTCCCCTCAAACCCCCCGCCGACCAACGCCGACCAACGCCGACCAACGCCGCGACCAACGCCGACCAACGTCGACCAACGCCGACCAACGCCGCGACCAAACCAAGGCGCAGGATGGAGGCCAGCAGAAACGCCGGGGGCGCCCAGCTCTTGGCCCCCGCCTCCGCCAAGGGCTGCAGCCCCAAGGTGCCCACGAAGTCCGCCGCGCCTTTCATCTACAAAGCTCGCCCGCCCCGCGTTTGGTGGTCGGTTGGCTTTTCTCTCTGATTTGAGTGGGGGTATATATCGGGTTCTCTCTTTTTCTTGTGTTTCTCTTCTTTCTTCTTTCTGTTGTTTTTCATATTGTTTCTTTTTTGGGGGGGGTGGAAGATCGTGAACTGAGCCATCCCAGAGTTACTTTGAGGGAGATCCCCAGCTTCATTCCCAGCTTCACACGTGTGCTTCCCTGCGAACCAGCAAGCCCACGACTTGCTCCCATGTTCTGCCATTCTGTGTGCGCATCGCCTTTAGAGGCCCGGAGCCTTGAAAATATTTGGGAATGACAGGGCGTTGTTCAACCGGATCTTGCCAAGGAAACGGGGCTTTGCCGCTGGACGCGTTCAAGCAAAATGGGCATTCTCGTGAAGACCACGTATCCAAAATCGGATTCCCATGTTTCATCATGCCCGCTTTACCCACCAAGGGAAACGATAGGACCCTTAACTTTTGAGTTCCCTCTGCAACCGGAGAAAAGCAATACCCTCAAAAAAAGACACACCCACAGAAGGGGTTCCGCACCTCTTCCCCTCAGGTGGCCTTTGACCGACTCCAAGTGGGTCGGGCCACGTATGACCCCCCAACCTGCGCCCAATCGATCCCCGCATGGTCAGACGGTCAACACCCCCTCCGGCCGTGAAACATCCTTTCATGCCAGGTGAACACACAGCATGCAGCCAGGCGTCCGACCCAGAGCAAGAGCAGCGTCATTGCGGTCAGGCACAAGGCGACATTCCTTGGTGACCGGTAGGCTGAATGTACTTGGCCGAAGGGATTCGATGTGTCTATGTAGAAAAACGTATGCCAACAAAAGCAAAGGAACAGAAAGGCAATGCGCCTGCATCCATATATCCAGGGTGCTTGTACATACCCCTTTTACATACCCCTTGGACAAATGAACCCGAAAGGCCTGCGAATGTTCATACCCCTCTCCCCAAAAGGGGTACATACCCCTTTTCAAGTGGGTTGGAGACCACGGAAGCCAAGGGGTATGAACCAGGGGTATGTACTTCCACCCTTAGAATATACTCACTTGCTTGGAGGACCGTCCTTAACCGCCTATTGGCAACTAGGAGAGCCCAGGAGGTTGGCTTTGGGCAACCAACAAAGCGTGAAAACAGAATCAGAATCCGTGCAGAAAAGCGCCTAGTTTCCCAAATGTGTGGAACGCTAGGTAACATTGCGCATAAACATGTATGTACATGCGCATGTGTGTAGAGAGAGGGAGAGGGAGAGGGAGAGGGAGAGGGAGAGGGAGAGCGAGAGAGAGAGAGGGGAGAGAGAGAGGGGAGAGAGAGAGAGAGTAGCCTGCGATATTTTTCTCCAAAAGTCTTTGGAGACTCGTTTTTGGGCAACATGGCACATGCAGCCAGCAGGGTTTCGCGCCTGGGGACTCAGGTCCCTGGGTGTTGCTCCAAGAGAATTGGGGGTGAAGCTTAAAGTCCCCAATTCCATTTGTGCAGTCTTTTCCATAGGGAAAATGGCACCATAAACAGGAATCTTTAGGTGTCCCCTCTTCCCTCATTCCATTTTTAACGGGGTGGGTTTCCTATGTTGTTCTTTTGGATTCCGGCAGCATCCAAAAGGGGGATCCCCTATTGTTGGACACCCCACACTTGGTCCATTTGTTTAAGTTGCCGAAAGAAATTGCAAAATGGAAGGTCACCCATGTCCTCAATGTTAAGCGGACCACAGACTGTCTCAGTATTTTCCTTTTGGTCGCACTGTACAACCAACCAATAAAAGGGTGCCTTCAACAAATGACACACCCATATCGCTATGTTTTTAATGAGGAACAACCTGAAAAGTGGCTAGTGGATATGCCCCCCCCCCACTCCTAAAGAATGTCCACCAAAGGGTCCCCCATTGACATTCTTTCATTTGCTTAAGCCCCCCGGAAAAATGAGAGCAAATGTCCATTAGTGAAATCGATTCCCTTTAAACCAACAGGGGAAAATAAAGCATATGTATTGTTTTCAGCAATGTCTAAATTTGTGAAATCGATTCCCTTTAAAACCAACTGGGGAAATTAAAGAAGTATATATATGTACATCTGTTTGTAATATATGTTATATATAATATTTAATATATATATATACATATGTATAAAGATATTCATTTCAGCAAATGGAAGGTTTACGGCCCATTCACGGCCGGGCGTCTCAAAGAAGTCCGCCACCGGCTCCTCCATCTCCCCGTCGCGGTAGTCGAGCAGCGCAAAGGCCAAGGCCGCCGGAAGCGCGCCGGCGAGCGCGAGGTACCAGAGGGCCTCTGCCGTCGGCTTTCGCTTTCGGGGCGTCGGCGTCGGGGTTTGGGGTCGAGCTTTTTCCGTCGGGGCGTCTGGTGTCGACTGCTCCCACCAATTAACCATGGAACCTGACAGGGCGGGTCGTCTGGGGTCTTGAAAACAAAATTGATTTGATAGTGGCGGTGCTTTTGGCTCTGAACGGACAAAGGCTGCGCGGCAAACGAAAGTTTCAGCGCGGTAGACCTGCGAAGGTCTTGAGGCTTTCTTGGCGTGGGAAATATGCTCCCCTAACAAATGATCCTCCCACCAACTAACATGGAACCTGACAGCTGGGCCCTGGTTTGGAGTTTCTTTTTGAAGGAACTCCTCAACGTCAGGTTCCGCTGGGAGAGCAACATGGAACATAAACAAGGCAAACACACCCTTTTGATTGTTTTTTTTTTTTTTTTGTTTATGCGAAACCAGCAGGAAACCAAAGGGTGTCTTTTTAAAGCCCGGGAGGTTCCCCAACAAGGAGATCTGTAGGAGGGTAGCATGAAACCCTGAGTGGTTGATTCACATGATCAAGCGCTTTTTCACGTGTGGTGGTTTGGAGGTGTGGAGGTCCTATACCACTCGGTACCTCCACCCATACCTTGACGCCGAGCTTGTCCGCCACGGGTCAGGCGCGGAAAGGTAAACACATCGAGTTGTTTGTTCACTAGTTTAACCCACCACACAAATACAAATCAAAAAACGAAAGCCAAACCAGGCCATCTCCCAAAACAAACGCCGAACACCCGCAGACCAACTTGTTTTTTCGGGGCGAAGCCGCGGACGCGTCCGCCGCTTCCTTGCCCTCGCCTGCATCCAGGGCTTCCGGGACCTGGGGATGGTGGGCACCCCCAGGCCGAAAGAGGCGAAGATGCAGAGCAGACAGGTGCCCACATAGAGCGCCTCAGAGCGAGCGAGCGAGCGAGCGCGCGGACGGCGCGGAGCTCCCCCAAGAGTCCAAGACAACCAAAAAAAGCGGTGAGGCCAAATAAGCACAAGGCCAAATAAGACCCCCCCAAAAAAAAAAAATAATAGAAGAAGACTCCTTAAGGCGAAGAAACCGCCTGAGGCCAAATGACGGTTTGAGGGCCTTTGGAAGGATAGGGCCCTAAGGATAGGGCCCTGAACAAAGTTTCTGAGTTCTTCTCGTGGTATGTGAGGGGGGGTTCGCAAAATAAGAATCGGACCTCCTTTTGGAATCGTTTACAGGGAAGCCAACAGCAAACCACCTACTTGGAGGGGTCCCCAATTTTGAGAAAGACCCATATGAGTCATGTGCCGAAAATTGGGGAGTGAGTTGTTGCGTCACACCTCCAAAAGGACCCCAGCCTGCGTCCACGCTTGGGGCAGCTTCTTAGCACGCCCATCAGGATTGCGCAAGACTCGCGTAGGGAACCCCAAAGGAGGTGTTTGAACAACACTGGTGTTGGGCTGGCGCAACCCAACCGCATGGGTCAAGGTTCCCCATGTTTTCCCTTTCAAAGGACACTTTGGTGCTGGACTCCATCTGTACTTCAGGCACAGCCATGTAACAATGCTTGAAACGCGCCAAAGGGGCAACTTAATTAGAACACCCATCGGCTTTCCTTCATCGAAACGACGAAACGACGGCTCCCCCCGCTGAAGATCCGTCCGAGCCACCAGCGCGCCATAGGCGAAGTCTGGCCACCGCAGGCAGAGCCACACGTTGCCGCCCTAGAGCGAAGCCCGTTTTTCCGAAGCGGCCACCCCGAAAACTCGGGGTTGGGCAGAATGTGTTGGAAACCATTCAAAATAGATATATTCGTGAAGAAAGGCAAGAGCGCCCCTGGTTCCCCTCAAACATCCAAACCGCTCGCGGTTGAATCCGAACCCCGGCCCCATGTAGCAGAACCTCCAAAAAATTCGGTGGTCGCAACCATACCCTTTCTTTGAAGGGAAGCCAAAAGGCGAGAGCGTGTGTCAACAGCTTGGTGCTGTAAGCCATGGCGGTTTAAGGCTGGAGTTTCAGTGTTTCACCAGCTCGGTGGTTTTAGGGCGCCCATGGCTCCCCAGCCCAAGCCTCCAAGGCCCAGAAGAGCAGAAGCAGCGCCAAGGGCTTCCACTCCAACTCCATCGGACGCGGAACCTAACCTCCCGGACGGAGAGTCCGGGCAGCTTGGGTCAGACTTTGGACCCAGCCGGGCCGAGTCAAGGGACACAAAGACCATGGAGTCGCCTTATTTCTGGCTGGGGCTGCTTCCTACTAGCTGCCATGTACATATATATATATATATATATATGCATATGTATTTGTTAGTCTCTATCCATCTACCTATCTATCCATCTGTCCGTTCTGTATCTACCCAGGTTTTTCATTGTACCCAGGTTCTCGTTGTGGCTCATCTACACCTGGCTGTCGCCAACCTCAGGCGTACCAAGCCCCACAGGCCAACCCCAACTCTCAGGCTGTTGCTTCCGCCTGCGCAAGGCTTGACTTTCGCACCTGGCTGGCTTTGGGCCCCACAAAGTCGCAGCTTGTGAAACCCCACACGCTATGCATGCATTATGCCTATAATTCTATATCTCTGTCCTCTGCCTTATTGTACATGTGTATAGTTGTGTACATGCATCTATCTAAATTTTAAACCTCTCTCTCTCTCTCTCTCTGCGCGTTGTGGAATGCGCAGCTGCGAGCCACGGCCGGCCAAACCAGAACAAATCTGTGACACGGCTTTCCACCAGAACCGGAGCTCCGGGACACGTGGCGTTTGAACACAAAAACGCACGGCTACCAGGCAGACGCACGGGGAGACAGACAAACGTGGAGGTGCTTAGAAACCTGGGCCGTCCGTTTTCTGATCCCCTGCAAGTGTAACTATCTTCCTCCAGCAGTGACAGATTCCCTTTAAAACCAACAGGTGGAAAATAAAAAAATAGTGGGCGAAATGGAAACTCAACCACTAAACCGACTAAACGCCTCAACACCTAGGGTTTTCGGGAATCAAGAAGCGGATCAGGTGAAAACAGCAAGATACCAAGCGTTGGAAACCCCCCATACCTTTAACACACCTGTCATAGGATTCACCCCCCCCCCCCCACCCCTAAGCCCATGCTGCTCAAAATGCAGACACGACCAGGCCTTAGGTCTTAATAAGGCTTCTTTGAAAGAAACTGCAGGGGAAATCCATGAATCTACAAAAGTTAAGCCAATCAATAGCAAACTAGCAAACACATAGTTCGAAAGGAAACCCTTGTTTCTAACGGCGGTTCCGCTCGATTGAATCCCCCTACACCAACGGGCCGCCGCAAAGCATCTAACACCCACCCGCCCCCCCACAGGAAGATACTTGGGTGTGTTGGTTTGTTGGGGGGACCCCTCAAAAATGATGGTTTCCTGTTGGTTTCCGTCTGAAAGCCACAAAAGGGGGGCGCCCTCAAAATAATGACACAGCCATAGTTTCCTCCCCATTCCGGCAAAATTCCTGCAAGTTGCGAGTCCCAGCTTCTGTCAAAAATAACAAATTGGCCAGGAGTGCGGTTTAGAAATGCCCATGGGACAACCCACACATCTCCTGGCGTCAAAAGCCCAGGCCCTCAGACGCGGGAGAAAAAACCGCATAGGAGATCTCCAAAAGAGATCTAAAACCGCGACGTGAACCAAATAATTCTTGGATTGGGTAGGGAAGATAAACGCGTGTTCTCCCCAAGGCCCGCGAGCGATCGCCCCCGCGATTGCGAGAGAAGCACGCCTTTTCTCGGCCGAAAATTTTCGTTCCGAACGCCGGACGCCGGGCATTCAGCCCATCAGCGGCCAATAGACTTCAGCTCCACGTCAAAGTAGAGCCTCGGCAGCGCTGGGTCCAGGGCCCCAGGTTGGGCCGAAAGAAGGGGGCGCCTCGATGATTTCTTTCACCCCGCAGGGAGAAAACGGACAAGTACCAATCCTCCTACCAAAAGACGGTATTTGTGGGAGGGCGCGTGGAAGATCAATTCCCTTTTGAAGGGACCCTCGGTCAGGTGCGGGGGGGAGGGCAAATCGAAATGCAGGGGTCGTCCAGCTCCACTAGTTTCATTTTCGGGGGTGAGGCTGAAATTGCAGGGTTGGCATGCAAGTTCTGAGGGGCAGGTAGGTTTTGACAGGAGCTGGTCCCTTCCAATCGCGAGAGACAAAGGTACGCAAAAGGACCCACTGTTAGGGCCACCAGTCACCCATGTTGACTGCGGGTGCGTCCACCTGGACGAATCGGGTGGTGCCCCAAAACCGAAAAAGTTGGCCCTCTAAAGTAGGACACTGCGAATTTCGATTGAGGCAATGAGATTGTGAATCCACCCACCCAAGCAAAAAGAGGGGAGAACCCCGGCCCCCCAACAAAAGAAGAAACAAACACCGGCGATCCTCTGGCACCCTTCCCTGACTGACTTTCTCTGGCTTCCGACGAGAGCGTTTTCCCTCCCTTTTCCGCCTTCGACCGTCTACTGCCTTTGCTAGGTCCTCCAGCAGAAAGGTTGGAATAAGTGTACCCCTTTTTTCCGTAGTCTATTTTGGTAGGGGAACCCTCCCCCAAACAGGCTGGTAAAAGGGCACTACTGGGGGACCTAGTCCGTGTTATTTTTCTGCGCGGCGCTGGTTTCGTTTCTCGCGCGCGCACGCGCGCGACTCGGAAGGCTGGGGCTTCCCCGCGTGGAGCCGGCGGGGATGGGGCCGATGCTCCGGCTGCCGTAGCCCAAGCTGGGAGGCACCACGATCTGGCGCCGCTCCCCGACCTGCCGAGTGAATTGGCTATGGGTCAAAACCCCGGTACCCCGGTGAACACCCAGAACGCCTTCTAAAAAGACAACAGTGCGCCTGCATTTTACTTTTCCGGCATGATTAAGAAAGTTGATTGGTGATTCTCCTTTAGAAATGATCACTAAATCTGGTGTTATAAGTGTTTCAGAGAGTGTGCTTGCTTGTTGCATTCACAAAAGGAAAAGTGCCAAAACCTCTATACAGGCAACAGTTGTGATAGCATTGAGAAATGCATATTTCCTTCTCAGTGCTTATATCTAAAAGAAATAGATTGCTAAAAGTCCAAAAATGGCACCTTAGGTTTTGAACCACAACCAGTTAGCGCCGCTGGGTCGCTGGATGGGGTGAACATCGGGACATGGGAAATGGGGTGAGCCACCCCATGCACCAAATAAACATGTTTGTTTAAGGCTCGAGAACATGCCGGGGGTTGGTTTAGGGGAAAATCACATATATATATATATATATATCTTTTTTTGGGGGGGATTGGTGCCCAAATCTTGACACGGAGCTGGGTTCAGTTTCTAGTGACATCCTCCAACGACCCAAGCCATCTGGTGGTTTAAAGGGGAATCAATCGAGATGTTCACTTGTTTGGGGCATCTGCAGGCCTCCCGAGATGCCCAAGTCACCCCACCAAGAGGAGTTCAGAAGTGATTTTTCAAATGGCCCAACCCAAGAATATAGGGACCCCCATAGGTGTCCGTTTTAGAAAAATAGATGGCCCTGGTAGTTGATTGAACCACCAGGTAAACCAGGAATCGCCCTCTATTTTTCGACCAAGTCAACCACAAAGGACACTTATGGGGAACTCACTGGCCAGTGGTAGCAACCCTCGTTCCAAGAGCCTGAAGCAAAAGGTGAAGAAGGCGGACATGGAGGCACCTGGTTTGCTCCGTCACAAGGTTCCAGTGGCAAGGCTGCCCACATGATCGCAAGAATATGGTTGCCTTACTGTGGATGGAACAAATCCATTTCGCACCAGTTAAGAACCCGTTGGAAGCCATAAGGCTTGTTGGTATTTGCAGGAGAATCGAAACATTTCAGGGATTCGTAGGTGGTGCAGGATTTCGCCCATCAACAGAATCTCCATATGACAAGTGTCGTTGCCCTAGACTTGCGAATTAGGGCACTCCCTTGAAACTCCAAAAAGGGATTCTACACTTCGGTGGTTGCCTTCCTCTTGTGTTTTTCTCCGAACCTCGGGGGGGGCCCACCAAAACACGCTCCAAAAGAGCCACCAGCCCCTCGCCCCTCCCCCCCCCCCCGCTCTCCGAAGATCAGCCAAAACCGTCTCGGCGGCGCCTTCATGTCCAGCAGGGCCTCGTCCCATCCCTTGATCACCTTGCCCACCCCGACCTCGGCGGGTTTCGTTGACACGCACCAAACGGCGGCCTCGAGTCCGTTTAGGGGACATAGATGGGTTTCCCACCAGGTAAACCAGGAATCGCCATCTATTTCTCTAGCAAAACAACCAAAAAGGACACCTATGCGCAGTCGGCGAATGATTCGGCTTGGAGGGAAGCTGCGTCCTCCAGTAGAGAGGTTAGAATAAGGGTACCTTTTTTCTGTAGTCTATTTGAATAGGGAAACCCTCCACTAGAAAGAGTAAAGCAAAGGGTAAAGGGGCATTGTTGGGGATCTAGGAAGGGTTCTTGAATGCTGTGGAATTTGGTGGCGCCAGGCATGGGATTTGCTTGGCCTTGAGGCCCCTTTTTGCAGCCCCTCTTGTAAAGTTGAACATGTGAGATCCGTTCAACATGCCCTGACAGCCATGAAAGATCTGATTGAAACAAAACCCGTGGCAGCCCCTCTGGTAAAGTTGAACACGTTAGATCCGTTCAACGTCCCCTGACAGCCATCTGGTTGAAAACACCCCCCCTTTGGCAGCCCCTCTTGTAAACTTGAACATGTAAGATCCCCTAAACGCCAGGAAAGATACAAAACAACACCTTGGGGATGGCAAAGGCCGGGGTCCGCGCTTGTTCAGCTTGGGCCCCCTTGACATTTCTGGGTGTCATGTTTCACTGAAGGTGGCAAATCGCTGGCGCCCCAAGGCGCGCCCAAAGAGTGCTAGCTGTGGATTGGCAGGGGGGGTCTTACCTCTAGGTTTTGCATCCTCCGCTACGTTTGCAAGTCACCGGGGTTTTCCTCCAGCTTTTTCGTGATGGTGTCCCCTGGTTACTTACTAACTTACTATGTACAGTACCTGGCAGCGCTCGGTCGTCTGGTTGGGTCCCCCCGTTCAATGGAAAAAACACTCACCACCCCGAAGGGGTTAAAGGGGGCCCCCTAAAACCGAGACAAACCCGTACACCGTGGGGGGAAACCCGCCGACCCGCGCAGCATGGACCCAAAACCAAACCGACGCAGTCGCACGCGCACGGGTTTTCGTGGCGAAGGGGCCGGGAACTGCAAGGGCTGGCGCCGGTCCCTGGAGCTGTCGAACTTCTTCTCGCTCTCGAAGTCCTCCAGCCAGCCTCGCCGCCATCGGTCGATCGGATAGGACGAGAGGAGTCGCCCAAGTTCAGCGATCCGAAGACACAGTGGGGTTCATCTCAAAAGCGGGCTCCCCGAAAGAAGTTGGAAATTGGTGGTTTCTTGGTTGCTTTGAAAGGGAGTCGCTTTCAAGGGGACGTTTCCGGGGCTCACGGAAAGCGACGCGAAGGCGCAGTGGGGCATGTCTCAAAACCGAGCTCCCCCCAAAAAGTGGGAAATGGGTCGTTGTCTCCTGGCCCCCCCCCCCACCCGCAAGCCGCACCTGTGTAGTCCGCCGCAATCTGGACGCCCTTGGTGGGCACAGGTCCGCTGCCCTCCTGGGAACGCTGAGGCCATCGGGGGTCCAAAATCCAGTGTTGCTAAGGGAATCCTCTACATCAGCTGGAAAGTAAACTTTTGATGGCTCAGCTCAAGAAGTCTGGCCATCCAAGTTGTTAGCGTATCGTTTCGGGTTTCCCGAGAACCTCAAACCAGGTCGTTGCTAACTCGAGGGCAAACAAAAACGGCCCCCTGGCGCCTTCCATTTGCTTAAGTCCCCTGGCAATAAATAAAGTGCTTCCAGTGATAGACACCCTCCAACACCAACAAGGGGAAAGCAAGACATACTCACTTTCCCAAAGGACGCACAAATACAAGGTCATCATTCTTTTGGGGGCCATGACTTCAAATGGACCCAAAAGAGGAAACCAAAAGGTCAAAAGGTTGGCTTTGGACAAGTGAGCCTAGTCTGAAGCAAATGGAAGCTACTAACAAATGCTGCGCCATCCTCCCCCCCCACCCCGGCTCCGTGATCACCTTGTACTGCAGCCCGGAGCTCGTCTCCGTAAACCCCTCCTCAGCCAGGCAAGGAGTCGCTTGGAATTCCATCGCAAAACTTGAGTGCGATTCACACACCAGCAAAGAAGCAAGCCATTAACTCAGATGCCCAGTGAATTTCCATGGGAGAAAAGGACACCTTTTTTTTGGGTTGAGCTTAAAGGGGAACCCCAAACCCAAAAAAACTGGGGAAGAAAGGCACAACAGAGTTAAGCCAGCAAGAAGGCAACCAAAGTCAAGAGGTGGTTTCCCTTGAGCCCATTGAGAGGTAATTTGAGGCTGTCGCTTGAATGGACCCAACCTACCTTTCAAATGGTGGCTGACCCAGATTTGGGTAGTTGGGATTTTCTGCAAGCTAGATTGCCACTATCTCACGCAAGTCTGGGTAACTTGAGATTTGTTGCAACTTTGCGAGTAGTAACCATGACTGATTCCGTCGTTTCCATCAGGCTTGATTCTTCCAAACTTGCAAGGGTTCGATCTTCTTGCTGACACCTGAGCATCATCAGGGAGTTCCTTTCCTCCCGGGGCAGTGCTTCTTCCATCTTGTCTTTTGTCTCAACCACCTACTTTCGCCCATTCTCGTTCAAGCTTGTCAGCACACCTTTCCGCAGAACTTACTGAAACCGACACACACACACACACACACATCAACGCCAATCAATCATTCAAGATCCAACACACAACCCCCATTCCTGGTTCAGCGTAGCACCCAGCGTAGCACCCACATGCAGTCGGTTGAGCAGTGGAACCTGCGCTGGGAAATGCCAGACTTGAGGAAGCCAAAGGCCCTTCCAGAAAAGGCTCAGAAGCGGCTCCTTCTGATCGAAGCGGTTCTGATCGAAGCGGGCTTCCTCAAATCAACGACTTCTATGTTTGACACCTCCAAAGTTGCGGTTTCAAAGGACACGAGCAAGTAAATTGCAAGATGCTATTTGGAAATTGACACGCAGTGACCTCTGAGGACCCCTGAGCAGGTACATTTTTGGATACGATTGGCATTGCGGTGACCCCTGGTTGAACCCTTCTGAGGGTAGGGGAAGGCCGGGGTGCTGACGAGCGGCCCGCGCTTGCGCTGCGGATGGGGCCAGCAGTGCCGCGGCGGCGGAGGCGGCGCCGAGGCGCCGGGAGAGGGCGAAGGACTCAGTGTCCAAAGCCGCGGCCAGGAAGGCTCCTCCGACTTTTTCTCGGAGCCTCTGGCCAGGGTTCCCTAGGAATCATTGTCATTTGCAACAGTGGGGTTTGAAGCTCAGCGCCCACCGTTTTCCCAACCCAGCGTGCTGGCGCTATGCCTTGGAGCTAATGACGCTGCAAAACTCCCTTCGTACAGTCCATTTGGGAGCAAACCGTTTTTTCAGATTTCCACTGGCTGCCCCACAATGGCCTCGCCAGTCACCCGAAACTACATCCACCCGACACCAGATCCCCACCTGCCCCGCCCCGGCTCCTGTCACCAGCAGCGCCAGCCGCCGCTGAACACGAGCCATGGCGAGCGGCACGCAAAATTAGGCGGAGTCGGGGGCGCGCAGCTGCGAGGCAAAGGCGGTCAAAAAAGCCGAGACGACAGGAGGGGAGAGGAGCGCATCAATACATTGCCAAACAAAAACAGCGGGAAGGAAAGGAAAAACGAAGACCCAACCCTGGCCGCACTCCCCGGCAATCGCTGGGCGCAGTTAAATCGAGGAATCCAAGAAGGACCCTGGGTGCAAGAAGGAATCCTCACCCAGTTGCCCTGCATCCCTGATGGAAGCAAGGACTCCTCGCGGTCAGAGCCCGCCCATCGAAAGCGGAATTCAAGGGACCCAAATCCAACGAGTCTTGCGTCAATCGTCAACATGCCAGCGCCACGTGTTTTTTCCTGAGACCCGAAACGTCCAGCTAAGGAAAATCGGCAAGACCACACCGTGGCTCAGCTTTCCACCCCGCTGGTTCTATTCCATGCAGTGTTGAACCCTTTTGTTGACGGTACCCTTTCTGGGATCATTTAGCCAGGCCCGTTGGTGGTTCCACATCCTACTTTCGTTCAAAAACAGTTGAAAGTGCACATGGAACTATAAGTTTGAGTCAGGTGGAAAGCTTGTCTTCGCACTTGTCAAAAGGACCAGGAAAGAATAAGGAGCACCGGGGGGGGGGGGGAAAAAGCCAAAGAAGGGAAGTGAAAAGATCAATATGCAGGTCGATGTGTTTTGGCTGCGTGGGAGGTTTCCAGAGGTTGGCTCATACCAGCTCCTGGTTGCCACATGTCAGAACACGTGCAACACTTTGCTTTGAACCAATTCGGCCACCCTCCCCCACTTCCCACCCCGCCTTCACCCCATCCCTCCCCTTCCACACCCCTTCCACACCCCTTCCACACCCCGCCCCACAAGGCGCCGCCTCTTTGGCCTTCTCAGCCACCCTCTTCTGCGCCGCCTCTACGAAAGCCTCCCTGGTGGAAGGCGGAAGGCGAGAAGGGCGGCTCCGGCGGATCCAGTTCGCCGCCGCCGGCAACAAACAAAAGGACCAACGATTGACCTGCCACATCAATGAATTGCAGGGTGGGCCCCAAGCAATCGAAGGCTATCATTGTTGACTGGGCAACACATTGGCGCACGAGGGCCTCAGGACCTGAACATGCGGGCAGGGACAAAAAGCTGTGATCTGTACGTGGCCAAGCCTGTGAAGGAACAGGTCAACAGGTTGATGGGTGTGCAACAAAAACAGGAAAGCTTCCGCTTGGGGGCGGGGGGTCTTGCGCAGGGCGTGCCCTCAATCCACATTGCCATGAGAAACAAGCCACAAGGTCGCTTTAAGAGGTTTTTGTCATCCAGGCGACTGAGATGGACAAAATGGCACAAGTTGCAACAGGACGTCTCTTAGCACCTGCAATGTCATGGCTCAATTCGTCGAATGTCTGATAGGTGGGTCGCCTTGTGCCGGTCTAAGCTGCAACCCTCACAAGAAAAGGACCTTCATCATGGTGATCTTGGTTTTTCCTCCAGGTAAGCTCCATGAAAAAGGAGCTAAAATTCATGTTCGTGGGTTGGGGGGGCATCTAGATCTCTGCATTTAGACCGGGTTGCGCCTTGACCCCTTCAAATATGCAATCGCTCAACCCAGCGCATCTTGTTTGCCGACCCCCTCACCAAGCCGAAGCGTTCTACTGGGTGACCCGGCGCGGCTTGCCATTGCAGGGCAAAGGCCGGTATGTGATCCTGCCACGCGGCTGATTGTTTGCCTGCTCAGTTGCCCGAAGGATCTCCTCGTGGGATGCCTCTGTCTCTTTAAAAGATGGTGTGGTTTCTTCGGCCACGCAGAAATGATACTTTCTGTTTAGATGTGTTGGAGGCGACCCCTGAGTTGACATGGCAACCAACACATGGTCTCAGGGACCTGGAACTGAAATGGGGAGGAAACGTCCTTGACACCTTCAATGTAGCCTTCCCTGCGTTCCCAAAATGATGAAAGTTGGCGTTGGGGCAGGGCTTTCACCCACAACCATCTACATTCCCGCGTTGATGGGCTGACGCCGCCAACCAAGCCACAAATGACTCAACTCACCCAACTGGTTCGTTGCACCTTGCAACGGCAAACTGAAATGGTCACAAGGCCACTTGCCATTGGAGGGCCTAGGCGCAATGCAGCGCAGCCCTTGCCACGATACGTGCGCAGGCCCGGCCCTCTTCAGCCTTGGCCCTGCCAATTCTCAACCGAAGAGCAAATTGAAAGCAACAAAAAACACACCTCCGCCGGAATGGCTCTTCAGCTCGCATGTCAGAATGGATGTAAAGCCCCCTTTCCAACCGCAAAAGCAGCTCTAAGCATCCATCCCTCCGCCCAACTCCCTCCCCCCCCCCCCCCCCCGGCGCGCCCTCAAGCGCTCGAGTTGCCGGGCCAGCACTGAGGTCATCCGTGACGCGGCCTGACAAAAGCATAGCACATACCAAACAGAAAACTCCGCATGAATCGCATAGCACAAGCGCAGGGAGCCTCTACAAACAGTAGCTTTTGTTGTAGTTCCCCTGTAAACCAAGCAGAAGATGCATACTATATATATATATAGCAGGCCTAAACAAGGGCGGAGTTTTTGTCTTACAAATTGCAAAATCAAAAGGATGGGCGATATGAAGCCTGGCGCAAAGGTAGGGAGACGACCTCTTCAGGGCAGGACTTTGGAACCCTCAGAACACCCAATAGCCAATACATGTGTTGACATACCAAACTCACTTGTTCCAAAACTTCCTACCCCTGGCACGGCAACTGTGAGGACTTTGCCAAACGACACAAAAATTAACGAAACCAACAATCAACGAAAAACCGAAAACATGCCAAGAGCAGTTGGGACCTGTTCCGAAAGTCCCCTGAGATCAGAGTGGGAAGCCCTGAAGCCCCGCCGCCCCCTTCTTCGCGCTCCGCGCGCTCGGTTTGCGCGCGCTGCGCGAACTGCGCCTCCCGTCTTGGAGGGGCGGCAAGCGGTGCAAGGTGCGATGACCCACTCAAACCACTTCCTTTGATGGTAAGATGCACATTGAAACTCCTTCAAGCAGGTCATGGGTAGTGGTAGAAGCACCTCCTGCAATGTCTTGGGGCTCACACGTTCCACTTGGGCTGTTCAAAATGATGGAAGGGTGGCCAGTGGCCAATTCTGGCAAATGATGTTACCTGTCAAGAGACGGCAAGGTGACGTCCCGTGGGACGCTATGCACCGAACCCTCAAGCTGTAATACCAACCACGTAGAAAGGTGTATACGGACGATGCCGTTATAGCCGAACCCGTGTAAACGTTGTAAGGGAGAAGGAATGATAGTTACAACAGTGGTCCTGACAAATGCAGCGCAAGCGAAGTGTTTTCGCTCTCAATGCCGATCACGTATGTATGCAGTCACACATCAGATCTTGAACCTCAATTGTGTCTTGAGCCAAATGGCGATCAATGGAACTTGGGAAGCAACACCAACAAGGACCTCAGAACAGCTACCCAATTTCGGCACGGGGCCTAGAGGGTTTTAACATCCCCCATTTGGGTCGCATTGTTCATCATGCGGTCCAAACACCACAAAACGTTCCACTGGCCACGGCTTCAACTACGAAATCGTGTCGTGCATTCTTTTACTTGCTATCACTACACCGTTCATTCGCTGTGAAACATGCCGGGTTCGATTGTACGAAAAGTGAAACATTCATCCTCCAATCGAAGCACACATCCATATGCAGGTGTATATAATACACAATCGTCGCGTCATTTGACCACCAATGAACAATCCAGCTGCCGCATTTGCGCATCGCGCAGCTGTCATCCATAAATGGGTTGGCCGAAAAAGTCCACCAGAGGCGCCTGCTCGCAATCGGTCTGCATATTTCCGGCAAAGAAACATCGGTGAGTAATCAATGCAAATTATAGCCATTCCAGATACCATGGACAATGCATAAATAATGAAAAAATATCATCTATAAGGTAATAGTCCCATCCACGAATATCCAGAGCGTCATAGTCGTCGGAATATGTAACCATGTACACACCCAATCATCTTGGACACATGAAGATAAATCATGACATAAGTTGTTCCACCGAAACAGTGTCGATGTGACGCAAGTAACAGATGGGGACTGACCCACATCGTACCGCAATCAGCATCTTCACGAAGCATACCTGTCCCCAATGGACAGCCTATGGGTACGTCGGCGGAACTCCTCGTCCAAGTTCTTCTGGGCTTCTCGTGCCCGGACACACTTCTTGTTGTAGTCCTCTGGCAACCAGTGCCCTTTCCGAAGGCACCAATCCAGCAGGGGTGTGTCGCATTTGTTCGGGTCGATGGCCGAGATGATGGCGCTCACGTTGACCGTGTAACCATTCTTGCCAAGGTTTAGGCCATCCCTCACGAATGATATATACTTACAGTTGAAAGCTAGTGCAAAACATCTGAAAATAATATCACCCACCGGGTGCACTCGGTCCTTGACCAGGAGCTTCATTTCTTCCTTGGTGACATCGAGGATTCTCGCTGCAATCCACAGCTTGTAGAATGTGTAAAGTCCCTCGCATTTGCACACCATCATACGAATATATTCGTCACGCTCCTCAACCGATCGGAAGGCTCTTGTCCGAACATTCTCCGATTGAGAAATCTTCGTTATTGTTGATGGCAAAAGTATACCTTCCTGATCATGCTCGGTCATGTTGGGGTATCTCTTGAAGTCATTGTGGTAAGGGCAGCCCGGCCTCCCTTCGAGTCCGGCATTCATCGTTCTCTCCTCACCACCTTCAAACATCCCCCACATCTTGGACAGCTGGAGTGCGATAAATCCTGCCATGTACTGAGCCTCACGCGGCTCGTCAAGGCAGATCGCCATCCGTTGGGAACTTATAATGTCCCGTGACGCCAGATCGGTGTCGCGGTAATGCCAACCGCTGTCTTCTTCTTCTGACGCATAGCCGGATGTATATCCTTGCGTGTCCATGTCGTCATCTTCTCCCGGAACTTCCTCCGCTTCGTCTTCATCCTCCTGTGCTGCCGCATCGTGGTTAGCTTCTTCCTGTGCACGCCTGGCATCTCCAGAGACGTTGGGGTTTTGGTTGTCCTCCTCGTCATCGGATTTGATGTGAATGTAGTATCTTCCGATGGAGATCAGTTGTGCCTCGCACTCCAGGCATAAGCAGAAGCAGGTGGGGATCGCGGTCGCACATGATGGACATATCCGGCACCTCAGTCCTTCCCATGTCTCATCATTCAGGATGACGACTTTGCTGATTTCGTCCCGGACCTCGTTGACCTGTGCGTTGAACTCTTCCATCTTGTTGATTCGATAGAGTTCGCAGGCACGATTAACCATGTCAACGATGTAGTGCAGATTATCGGCACCTGTCTCAGTCTCCGGCATCCTCTCGCTGATCTTTGCGACGTTCTGGAGGAACATCGCAGCCGACTCTTGGGAAGAGTTG